AGTATTACTTAAATACTTTACAACTCTGCAATTAAACGATTAAGACCTATACACAACAGATTAAAAAAACACTGATGATTTTCTACTATTGAGAATAAGGAGTCACGTGCCGATTTGGACGGGGTCTGAGCCGGTCGGCCATGATGGTAGGAGACGCTATCGGTTACCAGCGGAAACGCCTTTAGAACCCTCTGTTAGAACCCCACAGAGACGCGACTTAACATTCCAGAGCTCTTTAATTTTCGCGCATTTATTATTTTCGTGCATTTATTATTTTGGCAGGGCAGAGACGGATCTAAGAATACGAGAAAAAAGGAAGAAAGTAAAGCAATGCAAAAAGATAAGTTGAAAGAAAAGGGACCTTACAGGAACAAACTCCCACAAAGCGCAAAACAGCTGTATTTGGATAAGCAGCAGCATCAATATATTTGTTCTTTTCCATAGACAGTAAAAAAGAAAGGTCAGTTCATACAAAGCATCATTTACTTAACGCAAGCTAGCTAGTTTAGTTACTTGCGCTTTGTGTGGAAAGAGACTGCTTACGTTAAAAGTCTGTAGACACTGAAGCTACAGTGCTCTCATCTGCACGAGCAGTTCAAAAGTGTTGTGGAGAGTGTTTACATGCGTCACGTCGCCAAGGTGTAATGCTGAAAGTGAAGTCCGCTTTCGCCCCTAGTGAAGCAGATGGCAAACTGCAGTATCCACCAGAGTTATTTTAGTCTTTCTCTCGTTACTGTAAGATATAGATATAATTTTTACATCAGTTTGTGTTGGTATTCACTCTTTAGTAGGAGTCTTCTCTTTGCTCACGTGTGACCTGTAATTTTTCTCATTGCGGGTGTAGAACCAATCACAATCGTTTATGATTATAAGCGAGTGTCTTTTAATTGTTTTACAGTCTATGGTTTGATCATAGAACATCGAGAAACTCATTGATAGCAGATAAAAATAACCCAACATCATGCAATCTGGGCTGGCTAATACTGTATTTTCAGTCCATTTGCTGCTGCACCTCATTTTTAAGTTATGTTGCTCAACCTCGCATGAGCACTTGTGTCAAGGGAAGGGAGGAGACAGGTCAGCAGCCGGTCTCAATATTAGAAACAGATTTGCAGGCAATGTTATCTCACACAACACAACACAGTAATAGATCACAGATTTCTGGGTGGATAATCTCATCGTAGGGAGGGCAGATTTCACATGCAGCACATCTGATAAACAGACCTCATCCAGGCATTTAGTGCTCAGACTAATCCACAGTTTTGAGCTTTATGACAATCTTTTCACATGGACATGTTTACAATGCTCTCTGATCAGAGTGGTCAGAATATTTGCACATTCTTTATACCAAAACCAATTACAAACAGTGCACACTGTAAGTTGTAACACATTCTCCATTGTGTTGTTATAACATACAAAGTAATCAGGATGAGCTACAGCTCAATAGAGCACAGTAATCCGATTTGAATGACAAACATCATGCTTATAATAATGAGATAGCCTATATTAAATGAGTTAAGAGCACAGTATAAAATCAGCTTTTGCTCTGTTAGTGTTATTTAATATGTTATATAGCACCATTCTGGTAATTTATAGTAGCGGAGACTGTGGTAATCATAACGGGGCAAACGAAATGCAATATATTTCTGAAATCACTAGCGAGCCAGAGCAATGACTATCAATGACTATAGCACATGCTCATAGAGTCCTGTCTCTGCCAGAGGAAAACGTTTCTTTATTAAACCTCATCAAATAACAAACAGGCATTATGCCAGCACAAATGCCAACACAATAAATATAAGCAGCATAAACTGAGCATAAATTAAATTGATATAATTAACTACATTTTTTTTAGGCCTATGTTTTATAATTTATATATATATATATACGATTTAAATACATACACGAAACGAACGGTTTGTGTGAGAAAACGAACAGTATTTATACAGAGAGAAGCGCCTGTGCCTTCAGATCACTTGGACGTGGCTGTGATTACAAGAGGTAAAAACAATATAAATACTGTTCGTTTTCTCACACAAATCGCTCGTTTTGTGTCTTAGGCCATCAATGTGTACTTACATTTATGAGTCATTAAATCACGTTTAATTTGAACTTCTCTGTGCATGCTCTTTTCAGGTGGACCCCATAAAACTCCATTATATGACTGACAGACAAGAACGGTTCAACCTAAAAATATCACAATTGAAAATACTGTAGAAACAAAGACACCTGCATCTTTCGATGCCCTTGAGGTAAGCTAAAACATATCAAAAATTAATTTCAAAGTGAACTATCCCTTTAAGCCATTTTGAGCTGTCCAGTATGCGACAGTCCTGTGGGCGAAAATGCCTTGTTGATGCTAGAGGTCAGAGGAGAATGAGCTGACTGATTCAAGCTGATAGAAGAGCAACTTTGACTGAAATAACCACTCGTTACAACCGAGGTATGCAGCAAAGCATTTGTGAAACCACGACACCCACAACCTTGAGGCGGATGGGCTACAACAGCAGAAGACCCCACCGGGTACCACTTATCTCCAAATAGGACAAAGGGGCTAGAATTTGCAAGAGCTCACCAAAAATTGCATCCCACAAATCTCCATCAACTGCAAGATGCTATCCTATCAAGATGGGCCAACATTTCTAAAGAAGGCCTTTAGCACCTTGTCGAATTAATGCCACGTAGTATTAAGGCAGTTCTGAAGGCGAAAGGACGTCAAACACAGTATTAGAATGGTGTTACTAATGATCCTTTAGGTGAGTGTATATAATGTATAGGCCCACACACACACACAACATAATGTTTTAATAATCAGAAATTAAACTGAAATATATTTGTGATTGCATGCAGTAGGCCTATCTTATTAAAGCAGAAGCCAAGTGTGTTTGTCTGTAAATGTGGAATTGAATCGCAGCATATTTATTTTACTGCTGCATATTGCACTAATTAATTAATTTAATTTTTTTTATTTCAGACTCAGAAAAAAACAGAGTCCATAAAAAACATACAAATACGACAGACAGACAAATAGACAAAAACAAAGGATTACCATAGTCCATATAAACAATTTCTCCAGTGCCTCCAGAGCAGTGAACTATACCTAGTACTGCTCTGGTCAGGCCATATAAGAACAATTATAATTCCATTTTGCGAGTCCATGAGTCTCATCATAAATTTATAAACAGCATTTCTTATAACAGCATTTAGTGTGGTCACATCATTCTGCACACACAACTGGCTTGCACTGGTCCAGCGAGGTACCTTCAAAAGAATCCTTAGAGCATCATTATATGCTACTTGTAGCTTGTGAAAAACAGCTTTAGTATAGCAACACCACAGATGAGGAGTATACAGTGGTGTGCAGTAAGCTTTAAACAGTGCTATTTTTACAATTTCTGTACACATTCCAAATTTCCGTACTAGCATATTTGCCTGTGCATACAATTTACAGTACTGCCTCTGGATGTCATCATTATCAGAGAGGTCACTCCTTATAATGTGACCAAGGTACTTCACTTTCTCCACAACTGCCAGACCCCTTCCTGACAAGTGGAACATGGGAAATACAGCATTACGCTGCTCTCCGGTCCTCACAATCATCACAACAGACTTTATTGGATTAAACTTGATGTCATATCGTTCACCATATTCAGTACACACATCAAGCAATTGCTGGAGGCCTGCAGAACATGGTGACATAATGACCAGGTCATCAGCATAAAGTAAATGGTTTAATAGTCTATCCCCTATCATACAGCCGGTCTTACAGTTTTTCAAAGTTCGGGAGAGATCATCCATGTAAAGATTAAAAAGCATGGGTGACAGGATCCCACCCTGCCTCACCCCATTACTCACAGAAAAAGGTCTTGATATCGTACTACCCCATCTAACCTGCATTGTTTGATGTGTGTACCAAAAACCTAATATCCGGATTAGGTAGGGAGGAACCCCTCGCTGTTGCAATTTTTCAAACAGTTTGCCATGATTGATACGGTCAAACGCTTTTGAGGCATCCAAGAAGCACAGAAACACAGTGGAGTTCTGCCCTCTGTACTTCCTCACAGCCTCTTTCATGACATAGATGCACATATCAGTTCCATGTTGACTTTTAAAACCAAACTGCTCGTCAGTGGTAACAACATATTTCTGAAATCTATCCAGGAGCACAATTTCAAAAACCTTTGATATGACACTAGCCAATGCAATTGGCCTATAATTATCCATAGAGGAGATCTTCCCTGTTTTATCCTTCACTACAGGTGCAAGAACAACAGATAACATAGAGCTGGGCAATATACCATGCATTAACATTGCAGAAAAACATAAAGCAAGTAATACCACAACTCTATGACTGGCAAATTTTAAGTGCTCTGCAGAGATTTTATCCAAGCCACAAGATTTACCCACTGATAGTTTCCCAATGGCTTTAAATACCTCCTCAGCAGTAACACTCACATCATCGGGAGGAACATCCCCAATACTGAAGTTTTTAGTTTCTGCGCAGTTGAATAGATCACTATAATGCTTTCTCCACAGCTTCACAATATTTTCAGGCCCTGTAACTCCCTCAACACTAAAGGACAGAGGAACTTTAGCAGCATTCATAACCTGAATTTCTTTCCAAAAGTCCTGCACATCATTTTGCAACAATTTTCGCACTAAGGAGTCAGCCCTCAGTTTATACTCCGTTCTTTTTATGTACCGTACAGCACGTTTAAATTGCTTATCCATCAATTTTTTATGCTCAAATACAGGTCCGGTCCTTGGTTTACCCACAGAAATTCACTATATAAATCAGTTAATGACTTAATGACAGATGTGAAAGTGTTAACAATTGTACAGACTTTGCCGAATAACCCATTAATGTGTAGCCTACAGTAGTAGCCTAGTGTTCACTTGTTCAGTGCGGGCTGTGCAGCTTTAAAGCTCTCGCTCCATGATGCCTTGCGGTGTCCCGCTCGCTCGCGCTCACTGTATTTACTCGCGTGAGAGAGAGTGAGAGAGAGAGAGAGAGAGAGAGAGAGAGAGAGAGAGAGAGAGAGAGAGAGATCTGCTGCTGTTGCTGATGTAACGGGCCACACTGACTGAACTTCAGCGAGCGGACCGTCCGTCCGAACGGACCTGAACCGGACCGCATTTACTGACATCAAATGTAGAGAGTGTTTACGATACACTAGAGGAAAAGCTACACAATCTGATTAAATCTCGGTGCCGATTAGGGGAAGCGAAGCGGACCCGGACTGAGGATTTTGGCTGCCCGGGAATGCAGACACACACAGGTACGCAAATGATTTTAAATAACCGTGTTTTGGAGTCCAAAATGTGGACTGTCGGGGAAGCTCGAGAGAAGGGCGTCATGTATGTGTTTTCATGGGGTCCCTTTAAATAGTTGTGACGGGACGCGCTAGCTACATGAACGCGCAGGAGAACAGACGCATTACCACAGATCTAACGTTACATATGCTTTTTAACGGGTAAAATGACAGTATGATAGTGAGTGTTTTCCATCAGATCAGCAGCAGGCCCGCAGCCCCTCCTGAACTTACAAAACACTGTTCACTGCATCACATAAACACTAATTACGACTCTTCTGCCGTGGCTTTATATTAACTTCATTTATGAGTCATCATTATTAGACATTTATAAACAGGGAGAAAGCTGTCTCAATGACTGTCTCTGATCATAAGGTTTTGAATCAAAATAATGATGGTTGGCTGAGGGTCCATTGTCTTACCCCATATTTATATAGCCTATACAAGTCATGTGCGTGATACAGAATTTGCTTTTAACTGGAGTAAAAGTGCAACTAGCCACAGCCTTACCAGTAATGTTTATCAAATTCAGTAATTATGATGGTGATAAATATTTGAATTCAAGTTTAATGACATTTCTAATTATTGAAATGTGTGATCTGTTCAATGGCGTTACCCATAACTGAAAATGCTGTCATCATTTATCATTATCCATCTTATTTTAAATAGCAAAGGAAGCTATTTAATGTGATTCCGCTATATGTAAACAACTGAAAAAAATAACAAAGTGCTGTAAACAGTATAACTATTTGTGCAACAAACCAGTGCGTTTATGATTACGATAATACATTAAAATAAAATAACAAAACTAGTTTGCCAGGTTAAGCAGCTTAACAGACAGTTTTTGTACAGCTAAAACAACTAGAAGTGTCTGACTTTATAATGGCGGAACACATTATGGTAAAAATAGTGAAAAAATGTTGACAGAATTAAAATTTTTAGTTATACTTTCTCTTTAAGCATTAGGACTATGTGATGTTGCATAATGATTTATTACTTGATCAAACTATGATCTCAAACAACTAAGGATCCAACACCTTTAAAGCTATTACATACTGTCATACAAACTGTAAAGTTATATAATAGATAGGAATGTTTTTGTTAAGGTGGCTTGATTACATAAACCGACTATCAGAACTTGAATATGCAGTTGAGGCCAAACTGTTGCATTTGTGATTAAAGTAATGCACTTTTCAGCAGGTTTAAATTTGAATCACTCATCAGCATCAGATTGAAGTTTTCTACATCTTACTACATCTAACAATTTCAAATGAGCTTTACAGGTGAATATTTCATGGCTTTTTTAATCATTTTTTTTTGTGAACTAACCACTCCTTCAGATGCAGCAGGCAGAGCAAGACCCATTAAAAATAGACCAGATTGAGTCATCTTAGTAGACAGGATATTAGGCAAACATTGGATTTGTGTGTGCATTTTTCAGATTTCGGACACCACCTTCCTCTGCCTCACTTACTCGTAGATCTGTTTACACATGCCTCATTCATAGAACTGACTCACTCACAACCAATTACACATCCCTCAGCCTCTTAGTCTTATATGACAACAGCTGGCTCATTAAACACCCACTGATCAGATCTGCTGATCGTGGATTGTTGTACACGAGAGTGCTAAATAACTCCAGCGCATGTCCTACCAGAGGAAGAAAGAAGACGCAAAGGAAAGCTGAGGAAAGCAGAAGGCGGAGTAACATTACATATGGAACTGTGCTGTGAGATACATGTAATATCATGAATAAATGCATGGCGATGCAGATAAGGATCTTGAGTAGGCTGCAGAAGGCTGTTCTACTCTTTTGATGAGTTAGGAGGAAGACCAGATCTGCACCCACAGATTTCCACAAAATTGGTGCATCCTTTTGAAGTTATACATGTTTTTTTGTTAAATCTGTGTGGCAAATAATCTGTGGTCTCAGGAACTTTAGGTAATTAAAATATCCCTGCTTTTGTATTTTTGCTGGTTTCTAATACAAGTGTGTCACAGACAGTTCACTTCCCCCTTTTGAACCCATACTGACCAACTCAAGGAAATGAAGGGATTTATCTGTTGTGCAAGAGGAAAAACAATGACAGAGAAACAGAAAATCGCCTTTTGTGCTCTGGTTTCTTTGTTTTGCTAGTGGCACTTTGCATTCATTTACCAATATTTATTTTACAACTAATTAGTGGGGCTTGCTAATTCATCGCTGTTATTATTGCTCAAATGTAGAGTTAGTTGTTTTTCCTAACCCTTAACCTTAAAGCCAAAAGTATACTTTGGCTTTTTAGTGTAAGCGATAGGGTATGCAGTGCATGTGATGCAAATCATCAGCATAGTATGCAAGTATTGTTTGCTTGCAGCCGCAGATACTCTGTTCAGTTCGCATATTTTGGTAGCCCTTTTTTCTTGCACTCGTTTGTCCGAAAAGTGGCAACACTGCCAAAGTGGCAGCAAAAACTACTAGAGACTACAACAGACACAAGCAAATTTAAACAAAGACATTTTATGTGTCATTTTCATATGCCACTTCTAAAGAGAAATAGGGATGGACGAGGATGAAATCTTCTAGTATGCAAGTGTCGAATGCTGACGTTAACGCATGCTATCAAATGGAGTATACTTTGAAAGGTTATGCTTTTGGCCTAACCTTTTATTTGGTTGAAACGAACCAGAACAGTCCTGAAACTGCACAAAAAAAACAAATTAAAAACCACTCCAAATGCTTTTGCAACTATATGGTGGTGCATTGAGCAATGCTAGGTTGTTTCAACCCATGTTTGGGTCAAATATGGACAAACCCAACCATTGGTTTAAGTTTTAAAATTAAATGTTTAAACCCAATGGTTGGGTTTGTTCATATTTGACCCAAAATTAGAGTGTGGTGTTTTATTTATTTATAGGCAATCATTCAGAAATATAAAAATCTCATTTTGACTGATTGTTTGAGTGCCCATGCAATGACAAAGTGCAGTGACTCTCAAAAAACATCTCTTAGAGTTTTCCTGCTTAAACAAAGTTCTCATATTATTTACCAAAGATTGACAAAAGAGAGTTGAAACAAGATTGAACTCTCTCTTGCCTAAAAGCAGAATTTAAATTTTGTTTAAATATTGCTAATTAAACATTGTGTTGCACGGCATGCAAGGTATATATATGTCCAACACCCCTTCCCCCACATTGTTTGTGAAAGAGCCACTTGTATGTATTCACCTCAGACTAAAGTTACTTTGAGTTAACAAATCTTACTCAGGGTTTCTTTTCATCCTTAACAGAGGCTGTACTGACAAACAATTTTATTTTGAATGGTTTAAATTCAGTGTCAGTTTGTAACTCAGTGCGTTGTTCAGCTGTGAACCCCTGACAGGACAAAGTTATACAGTGGGACATGGGACAAAAGTTAAAATAAAGAGATTGTTCCTTAATTGCTGCTGTTTGTTAGTTCCCAGGCCGGTCACAGCCGGCCATGTGAGAGATTCACAAAACTGCAAAAGCATCACCATGGAGATGGATTGTTTGTGTCCAGTCATGCTGTGAGGCCTGCAGGGGTGGGCGTCTCTCCAGCAGACCTTTGTGTTTGCCTGCCCTGGACCCTTGTTAGAAAACACACCGGTCCTGAGAAGGTGTTCATGTGCTGTATATAAAACTCCAATAATCATAGCATCTGAAATACTAGACAGCGGAACAAGCTTTCATTTCAAATGACATCTTTTAGAAAAAAAAAAAAAAAAAACATTTTAGCCTAAATGTTTTGCTAATGAAAGGACTGACACAAAATTATACAACAGAAAAGCCTATTGAAAGGACTGTACTGCCAACCCTCACAGCTTCGTTTTCATTTGTGACCACTTAAGGATGACAGCTACCAAATCAACCCGACTAGTTTCATAAACATTTGACTAAGAACAGAGTTAGTAAAGCGAGAATGGATGAACAACAATGACCTAACAGAGCATGTGAGAGCACAGCATGCTGGGACCGCTACACCCGATAGGTTACTGTTGGATCTAGCCATATGTTTATGGACGTCAGACATGTGAGTCGACTGGAATGTGAATTTAGATGCATTACGTCTCATTTAGCGGCTGTCTTGGCTGCACCTTGCAGTGAAGGCCCCAGCAAATCCTTGAGTTTGCTAAATTTAGCCCCAGGTCATGAATCCGACGCTAGTCTGGCGCAGATGCCTGTATCACTCACAGTTATACAGTTAAACACAAATTCGGAAGCCGACACATAATACTGTTGGAGGTAGGGCTTTAACACAGTGGTTAAAACATGCATGGAAACAACACCACATAACTGTATGCAGCTTTGATAAACTGGTGGGAAGGAACTTTGTATTAAGAAGCTCATGATAGATTTCTGAAGCAGAAGTGAATGATTATGTTACGTACCTTCTTGGCCCGATGTCCCTACCCATAAGAGACTGATTAAGATATTATGTCAGAGTATCAAAACGCACACCAGGACAGAATTAAAACTAGATGAGATCAGATGTGAGTAGTGCTTGCCAATGCAAAAGCTAAGATGTTGTGGGGGTTGCTAAGAAGTTTTAAGTTCTTTTAAGTACATTTTAGGGTGTTTGCTAGGGTGTTCCTTGTGGTTGCTACAGTATAGATGGTTGCTTACTGGGCCAAGTCAAAAGAGCCCAACCCTCTTAAGTCTCTATGATATTATTCCTTGAATCCCTCATTCAATTTGGAATTATTTTGTTGTTGTTGTAACTTGAACTTTCGGGGAACGACAGACTTCTCTATGGTGACGTATGCAGAACTTCACCAATCATTCAATTCTCTGAAACCCCATCTTAAAACAGACTAACAGACTATTTATATGCCGGAATTTAATACTTGGGGTTAGGGGTTTGCTGCAACTGTATTTGTGTGTAGTGACATACTGATCACACTATGCAGGCATGGGCATCCATCATAGATATCAGCTGGTTGTGAGATGGCATATCAAGATTTTGCCCACTGCACTTCAGCAGAGACCACTTCAGATTTCAGCAGACCACTCTGAGACAATCAGAATGAGAGACAAACAGAGGACTTTCTCTCTTCACATGGGCACCATCTATACTGTTCATACAGGCCTGTTTGGACCAGTTCTTCAGCTTGAGCGGTTCACAGCTAAATAAATCACTCTCATCACTATATGCTTTCCTTACCAATGATATGCAGTAAACAAAACTATCAAAAGAAAAAAAAATATCAAAGAAAAAGGAACATATCTGAATCAGGAAGTTTTAAGCATACTGTATTATTATCGTAATACATTATTATATGTATTATTATTATTATTTTTACATTACTGAAGTCAGGCTGGCAAAATAACTTGGAGTAGCATTGCAGTGAATCAAAAATAAAGGTCCCATTTTATATTAAGTGGCTTTAAGTACCATGTACTTACATTTAAATTAATAATTCGATACAATGGACTTATTGTGTTTTAAAAAATACCAGCATGTAATTACAGCCGTAATTAATTTATGTAATTACATCTGTAATTACACAGCTGACCCATCCCTTACACTTAAACCTACCCTTCAACCTACCCATACCACCACACCTGTCCCTAACCTTACCTGTATCCCACCTGAATAGCACCAAAAGTGATTTACAATACAACATGAGCACAATAAGTACATTGTACTTATTTTTAAATGTAAGTACATAGTACTTAAAGCCACTTAATATAAAGTGGGACCAAAATAAAAATGAGATATCCATAACCTAGCCACACACCGTAACTTGCTCTTACAGTGTAGATCTCTCGAGTATAACAATCCTTAAGAGAACAACAGGAAGGATAGCATTAAAGGCCAAAACACAATATAGTAAGTGAAAATTGATTTGCAAGTTGGATTTAAGGATAATAACAGATGAGAGTTTTAGCACTTTGGCACTTCAGCATCCAAACCCTCCATTTACACCAAGAACTAAAGATATTATCTGTCAGACTGACACTGAGAGGATATTAAAGAACCAAGTGTCACTGTTATTGAAGATGATTCCAAGGGAGTATTTATGGTTGAATAATTTCTTAAATAAGTGGAATTACCACAAACATTTATTTTGTCTCACAAGCAGTGATAAGAGCAGCATGCAGACCAGAGAGCTTGTAACGGGTGTCTGCAGAAGTGAGGAATGACATCATCCAGATGAGAGGCATGGAGCTGAAGGTGTGGGTGGATGGAGTGCAACGGATCGTCTGTGGTGTCACCGAGGTCACCACATGTCAAGAGGTTGTGATCGCTTTGGCCCAAGCAATAGGTGAGACATTAAATCTGATTGTGAATAACACCACAATGGCTCCATTTTAAAAGATCTTCTTTTCCATGTTTTGTATGTTCCCTTCCATGCTCCTTTTGTTCCTCCTTTCCTCAGGACACAACATAACACTCACTATGGCTGTCTCCTTGACAACAAGCCCTCATTGAGATCAGAGATTAAAGTAGTGAAATGCAGTATTGTCCCTTCTAGTCTCAGAGTTTGACCCAATCACCCTATACTGGAAAAAAATGGGACTGTGTCTTATTCCATTATTTCACGAATAAGTACAATCTCTGTTCCACTGTGATGCTTGGTCTTCTGTGAATGTCGGATGAATTTCCTTTGGAAAGTTAAATCTTTGTGTCACCATGATTTTAGAGCTTTAATGCTTCTCTGTTTAGCCATACACAGTTTGATTAAAGTTAAAGTGTGGAGTTTTGTGTATGTTAAAATACCTTATTCTTTCCCAGCTTAATATACAACTATATGTAAGCCATATAGGCTGATTTCCCCAGAGTGTAAAGGCAAACAATGCTGAGTTTGTTTGAAGATCCTCATTAAGCCTAGCCCTGCAACACAGGCTCAACAAATGGCCAAGAGGGAAAATTTGAGAAACTTATATTAGTTTCTCATAGAATTGAGAATAATACTTATTTTCGAAATTCATAGTGGTGATGCTACTGGTGCAGAAATGATGCACTTCATCTTGAACTGAAAATAGTTACATTTGACACTACACAGAGCAAATGACAGATAATACTTTAAATAATAATATTTTAAAAATCATTGATAATATAAAATGATTGTATTGCAGGGCGGACTGGTCGCTATACGCTGATTGAAAAATGGCGTGAGACAGAGAGGCACCTGGCACCCCATGAGAATCCTGTGGTTTCTCTGAATAAGTGGGGTCAGTACGCTAGTGATGTGCAGTTGGTGCTTCAACGTACAGGCCCTTCTCTGAGCGAGCGCCCCACCTCGGACACCTCTGCGAGAGCCCCTGAGCGCAGCCTATATCGCCAAAGTCTCCCTCCCATGGCAAAGCTCCGGCCCACAGCCAACGATCGTTCCCTAAAACGCCGTGAACCAAAACGCAAGTCCCTCACTTTCACAGGTGGAGCCAAGGGGTTGCGTGACATCTTCGGGAAGAGTCGTGAGGGTGAGACCAAGCAAAGAACGGTGAACACAATCCGCAGCAGCACCCCGGCACCTACGCAGGAGCTGTCCCTTCTGGTGCAGTTGCAGAAAGATAAACTGCGCGTCCTAGAGCAGAAACTGCAACGCTGTGAAACCGAGTTGCAGCAGCAGTTGACGGAGAAAGAAGAAGAGGAGCTAGTCGAACTAGAGCAGCAGGTCCGCAGGAATGAGGCGGAGATGAAGGAGCATGAATTCTGGGAGAATGAGCTGCAGATTGAGCAGGACAACGAGAGGCAACTGCGTGCGCAACTGCAGGAACTGCGTAGCCGTGTACAAGAGTGCGAGGAGCAGCTGGGAGAGTACCTGGCTCGTATTCAGTGCATGGAGGCAGGGCTGGAGGCAGAGCGCTTACAACAAGAGCTGATGGAAACACGAATAGCAGATGAAATGGAGGTACAGTCGCGACTGGACAAGGCCCGTGCCGAGCTGGACGTGCAGGTGCAGCAGGCTGCAAGACTGGAGAGCAACTGCAGAGCTGTGGAGCTCTCACTTGGGCAGTCAAACATTAGGCTACAGGTGAGACCACCTAAAGGAATATAACAATTCACTTACACTAACATTGCGGACTTTCTGACCAAGGTTTTGACTGAGGTTGCACTCACACTAGAGCTTTTGAGTCCATTTGACATCAGCAAGGTTAATTTGGTTGGTGTTAAAGCTGTCCAAACTCAGGTGCACAACAGTAAACCAAATACAAAGTATGCAGGTGTGGTTCGCAGTTGGTATGAAATCAATTTTTACTAAATCGCAGAAGTGAATTGCTTTTAATGAATTGGAGAGCATGCAAAGTTGAAATAGTAGATTGCTCTCTCATATACTCCTTTTCCACCAAAAAAGAACTGGTTCGGAACTGGTGTTGGTTTGGAGTTGGTTCAACTTGCGATCCGCTTCAGAGCCTATTTGTTTTTCCACTGACTAGAGCGCCCAGGGAACGACGTCGTTACGTCGCTGTGTACGTCGCCATATGTCTTAGCTAGAAACGCTTGTAAGTACAACATTACTTTGGGATTATCTCTAACTCGTATAGCAAAAAGGCTTTAAAAACAACTGAAAAATTTAAGTCTTTTAATCTTTTCGTTTGATATGTAATCTTTTCTGACTAGTTGTGTACCCCTGTCTTGTGTCTTTTTTTTTCTTTCCATTTATTTGTTCTATATTCTTCTTTGCTTATAAAGTTTTCAAAAAAATTACAAAGGCGGACTCCATCGTGTTTCTGCAAATGTTTCTCCTGGCTTTGCGACGGGCAAAAAAGATGTTTAGAACACATCTAAACCCGCCCCCAGCCCCCGACGTAAGCATGACGTGGTATAAGAACAGTTCTAGTCCAGCAAAGAGTTGGTGCCGCTTTGGAACCAGTTTTCCCGGCCGAGAACCGGTTCTTTGGCTGTCGAAACGCAAAGAACTGGTTCGCGCTCTGAACCGGCTCTCAAAATGCTTTGGTGGAAAAGGGGTAAAAGATGGTCATATCTCAAGGGTGCCCAGCCCTGCTCCTGGAGGACCACTATCCCGAATAGTTTAGCTCAATTCCTAACCAGTTAATCAAGGTCTTCAGGATCACTAGAAACTTTCAGGCAAGTGTGTTGGGGTAGGTCGGAGCTAAACTCTGCAGGTCATTGGCCCTCCAGGACACATCTATCATAGCTGCTTCTCTCAGTACGCAGACTGTGCATTTCTTGCAGTGCATCATATATATATCAGTGGCAGATGTTCTCAAGTGCGTATAAAGTTTTGGTAGTTAATCCAAAGTACTTGTACCAAGTGTGACAAACATGACCAGTACTTTGTTTCATGCAGTAGAAGCATGGGCCTGCTGAAACCTAGTGAGCTACAGCTGCTTTGTTTTAGACTCTTTGGCCTTAAGTTCCAACAATGCGACTAATCGGCTTTGCAGAATGTTAGAGACCAGGGTGGGGGGTGGAGGGTAGTGGTCACAGATGTTATGTAAAAGATCTTTGCCAGAGCTTACTGATGAAGTGAATGAGTAGAATATGTTCCAGTACACTTTGTATTCACCTGGAATGTTACATAAAACAGATACACTTGTATTTAGAGCACTAAATTCTCTCTGGACTATCTTGGTAACAAATAAGATGGATGTCTTTTGGAGCACACTCTTTTGGCCTCCCTCTTTTTTTAAAGTGTGAACATGGTAAGGTATGAGGGAAAAAATTTGATTTTATTGTCTATTTTAGATGTTAGATTCTTTTAATTAAAAGAAACTTTTAATTGTTTGATTTAGGAAAGAGAGCAGGAGCTGGAGCAGTTAACTAAGGAGCTAAGGCAGGTAAACCTTCAACAATTTATTCAACAGACTGGCACCAAAGTAACAGTTCTACCAGCAGACCCTGGTGAGGAGGAAGCTAACAGAGGTACAAACACACAAATATTCTGCTCTTTTCTTGATTTATGTAAATCAAATGTAACCAACCTATAACGAATGTCTCTAAATTCTATGTCAACTTTAAAGTGTACTCTCTCTCTTTGTATTGTCTCTTTAGAGTCAGAAAATCAGCCTGGATCTCTGAAGCGGCTTGGATCAGCCCGACAACTTCCCGCTGACCTACGAGTTCTGCAGAGCCCCCTGAACACGACCTTTAACCCGGAAGGCATCTATGTCTGATTTTGCACTGGCATCAACATCTAAATGCTGTCAATTTCCCACATGACTCCACATCACTCCGAGACCATGATTCAGAGTCTTTGGCGAGATCACATTCCTAGGAAATATAGAGGTATCTGTTGTTCACGGCGAAGATTCCTTCCTCTTGTTTGACTAATCCAACCCAATCAGAGCTTTCTCCAAATCCTACAAAGACAACTCCAGCTGAATGTATGCTCACTTTCACTGGACCCAAAACTCAGTAAGGCTTTTACCATGTATTGAACAAGGCAACTACTAAACTCATACAGAAAAAGAGACAGAATACATGCTGCCTCAGCCTAAGTTCAATCCATTAACCTTTTGGTGCAAGTTAGAAAATGCAGCATCATGATGTCTTTCATTTCTAGAATGTTTCTCAATCTCCAGGTAAACCTCACACTCAATGCGATATGCAAGCAGCAGGAATTTTAGGGAGATGCAAAGAGATCGTGGAGGATGATAAATCATGCAGTTTATGTTTTATGTGATGAAAGCTTATAGAAAGGGGTGGGGTTTCGCCTTAGTTTGCACTTTATTGGCCAAAACATCTGCTGTGGAATTTTACAGAAATCTTAAAAGCTGAAGAATAATTTTCTGCATTTGATCGCACTAATCAGGAAAACAGGTGCATGCGATATTTTAAAGTGTGAAAGTGACGAAGAGAGGTGTTTTTGCATGAAAGCAGCTTGTGACAAGTGAACTTTGTTACCTTTTAAAAATGAAGCAACCTGATTTTGTGCTGAACTGCTTAGTTGAAAAAAGTAGCCTTTTAAATAATGCAAGTACAGAACAATGTAGTTACGCACAAGTCATTCTAATGACTGGTCTAGATCAATGTGTTCTGCCAGTAAACCTTTTTTGGCCCATGAATGCATTTTATTTCTGTTTATTTGATCTCACTAAAATGCTATCCACATCCTAGCAAAGATCACACTAGTTGCATATATTTTAAACTAAACTGTTTTACTAGTTTTCAGAACTATATTTTATTTCAGATTAAACCAAAGTGTTCTGGAAGTCATGAATGTAGAGATTTGTAATTGTGCAAAGGGATGCAGCTCCAAAATATTTTGTTGATTATATTATATTATTTTAACTGTAGCAGCACCTGTTTCCCTTAAAAACACATTTACAGAGATGCAGAATGATTACATTTATTTTTACATTTAGCAAGGAGCTCTTGATGGTGTGAATAAGGAATTGCTCTTTTAGGTTTGCTGCAGTTGCTTCTGGATTTGTTTGGATATTTTTGTAAACTAACTGAACTGATTTTATTTTTATTTTATTTTTTCTTTCAAAAAACACTTGGCAAAAGTTAACAATTTAACATGATCTCCATGGATGACTTAATCGTTGTATCTCTTCGAAAAAAAAAAGACAGGTTTGTTTTAAAGACTTGCTCATAATGTTCATACGTTCAAAACAAAATCCATATGCTTCTACATTTGGAATAGTTGTGTGTTGATTTCACACAGAATTGGTGCTCAGATGATCAACAAAAGAGCATTCGGTTGTCTGAATGCCGCATGACTTTAAGAACCAAGTCATCTCTGTGTGACGAGGGGAATGTTTGAGACGCATGCCTTTCTTAATAAAGTGTAAATAGCATATAGCAACATATCAATAAGTAGCAAAGATTACTATTTTTAACATGGATGAAAAAAAATTGCACAACACTCTTAACTGCTAATATAAACGATGTTTTTTTTAGCATTGTTAGGCTGCATGCACTGACATTCAGTTTTAAGCTTGTGTGGCCTGTGCAGGATCCACTTATGGCACCTAATACAGGTACGATACTCAACAGGTTGTATTAAGGTGGAAGATGGACTGTGCAAAATGCCTGTATAAATATCGGTAACTCTTCCTTTTACAGTTCTGTTACCCATGTACATACCATGTACTTATTATAGTAATTACAATTACTGGGTAATGACTAGGTACTAACCTGAACCTACCCCTAACCCATGTACTTACCTTATATTAGCCAGTACTCTCTCGGCAAGTACACTGTAAGTACACGCAAGTACTGTACTGTAAAAGGAAGCGTTACCTAAATATCTGTGCAATCTTAACAGGCTTGAGGTGTGGGACTGATGTGTGTGCATTAGAAATTAACAGTGTGTATTCTATCACCTGCTGCTATACACACAGGTGTGACTAAAATAGCATTAAGCTCAGTTGATGGTTTAGATCAAATAGCATTATGGATTGATATCTCTGGATCACAAGTTTTGACCTTTAATGCAGTACCAAAATCCCTTTGGGCGACAAACAAACTTATGTTAAACAAACTACTTCATTCTTGAGAAGTGTCAAATGCCTGGAACACACATTTAAATGATTTATGGTGACATGTTTATCAAGCCATCCGTGGAAAAGATGCAGTAACATTGTAAAATGCTAAATAAATTTAGAATAGAGCATTGTTGTTTATTGTGTCCTTTTCTAGTTGCAGTCAACAGCCTAGAACTTGTGTTAATTTTATGTGTGCGATTAGCGAAATTAATTACACAGCAGGTAAATCGTGATAATCTGTAGTCTGATATTTTGGTATTATAACCACAAAACTGACCATTGTCCCAGGCAACCGATTTTCAAAGTCACGATGTAACGGAAGTAGCGACAGATCCTTTCTTCTGTATATTGTATAGTGAGAGTGGATTATTAAAAAGTAAAAGAATTGGGTGGGGGCTTTGTTGGAGGTTCTGTCCATTGCTTGTTTATTAGATGGAGGCAAATATGAATGCAAGTTTTTTTTTTGACCTGGTAATTTTTAATTAAAATATCACTCGACATATGCTGGACTTTCTTCATTCACTCATTAACCAATGGATAGAAGTAAGTCCCAGCTGTACATTTTTTTTTCTTTTTCAATAATCTGTTTCACTCAGATGTACGTCACAATACGGAAGAAAAGATAAGTTGCTACTTCTATTACATCGTGAGTGACATTAAGAATCTGAGGAACAGATTTTTTCTATGTTTACTGTTTAATAATTCAGCCTGGCAACAGATAAAAAAAAAAAAGAGTCCACAAAGCTGGTCCTAAAAATATCAGAACAATCCCAGTCTCAGCTTAATGAGGGTGGTTGCAGCTGGTTAAAGACCTGACTAAGTTCAAACACCTTGATTTCCCTGTTGGCTTCTTCCCAACAGAAGTCTAAGTTGCAGACACTGTGAATGCAATGAGTGGCATGAGGTAGCTATTTTGCCGTTAGATGGATTTCACTCAAATCGAACGACTGCAGGCTTCTTCAGTGCAGAGGTGGAAAGTTCTGCTAAGAAAAGGAGCACTGCACGCCGGGAACCAAACCCCACACAAACAATTGCTTTCACCTCTACTCGAGATATCTGTGCATGAAAGCAAGCATTAGTATCACATATATTTAACGCTCAATGCCTCATCCTTACTGGAGTCAGAAAACTCGTCCTTGGCTAGATTCCTGTTTCTGTGCATTAATGAGTCAAAACACATCAAGGCTTAAACACACTTTTGGAGCCTTTTTTAAAAGACTCATGAGCTAAGATTTTTGACTATCGCCATGAAGACACAAGTGCCCTTGAGGAGTCATAGCTGGATGTCAATGGGCCTGTCCCAAATGGCACCCTAAGCCCTTGTGGTGTTCCTCAAAGTCAATATTTTGTGACATAATGTCGCTTTGGGGGTCAATGTGAATCTGCAAGAATGCAAATGAAGTGTGGCATTTGAAGCAAAGGTTATGAACTCCACGAGACCATAGGTGCCTCATTTGTCATTTAAGAGTTCCAAGGGGTGCTCAAGAGTGCCTCCATGTGGCCAAATGAACTTTTGGCAGTATTTCACAGAAATGTCCACTTGGATGAGGACCACTGGGACTGAGGGTGCCATTTAGGACAGGACTCATCTCGATAAAGCTAACAAAAATCTTAGTTTATAAAGGGTTTTGTGCATTTCTCTAATTTGTTTACTGATTCGCCATATCTTGACATTTCCAGAGGTAGGAAGTTGTTCCTTCTGAACACCCATGAAATACACAAAGTACATTTACAGCTACACACACATAATGCACACATGGACTAACACTGTTTACACATTTCTTTATTCTGTTTCAGAATATTTCAGAATCTTTGTACAAACTAAAGCATATAAAAAGTGTGTGCTTTATAAAACATTGTCTTACTCTTCTTTGCCGGTTTTAAAACCAGCATCCTGGCAAAAACATCATTTGATGTCATGCCAAAGGACACATCACATCCTCTCAACAAATCAATGATCCTGCAGAGATGAGAAGAGGCGTGTTCCACACATCATCTGGTGGTTTTTCCATTCTCATGAACATCCATCCTGATAAAGAAAACAAAAAATGACTGATTAATGTGATCACAGGATACACAGTGAGAAGAATAGTGAGGTCAACACACCCATTTTCTTCTTTCAGATGTTGATAAAGTTCAGCCTTGTTATTCACTGAACTCAGTCTCCCTGCAAACTCCTGATGCTTCCTGGAGTTGGCTTGAGTTATTCTGTTAGTCCAAAGTGTAAGTAGAGACACAGGACCTGCAAAACAAGAGACCATATTTGACAGCTGTTTCTACTCATACACAGATCTGATTGGCTGCTGTACCTCATATTGGCACATTCTAACTTGCCTTTTCATTCACTTTGGATGATGATCTTTCTGACTTGACTTGTAGCTTCTAATTCGGAGGATAAAATTGATGCCGTGCACGTGCAGTACAAGTAACTCGACTGCGCTGGAGCTTTCTTCGCTAGTTTTCTCATTAAAGATTGATCATTAAAAACATCATGTAGGTCCACACACAATGGTCCATTTAAGTGTGTATGTATGTATTATTTTAGCAGAACATCTCACATTGTCCAAGGGTTTCTTGTAAAGCTAGGTTTATGGCTTTTGGATTGAAAGTTGCAATGCATTCTTGAGCATTTGAGATTCACCAAAAGGCATACATTCTTGTTCATTATGATATTTAATTCTTAAAATTATTTTTAAAATCTATAATCCAATGTGATTAATAAATAATAATAATACATTTAATATTTCTATATTTAATTAAATAAAAAAAAAAATACATCGCAACAGAGGATTGATTGCCAGAAAAAAAAAAACAGAAAAAAAAAACATAAAAGCGAACCTTTAGATTTCTCCGGAGGCTGCTGCTGCTGCTGCTCTGTAGCTAAACGTGGTTTCTTGTTCAGGGGCTCCGGGGAGTCCGGTGAATCTTTGATGATTTCACATTCGCTCTGTTCATCTTTCTCTCGCTCCATTACCCCTTTCAACCTAGAGGAGAAAAAGGACATACAGTATACATTAGAAACACACATATCAGGAGATTAATGAAGAAATCTACAAGTAGCTGCAGTTTGACAGAAGTTAATGTGAACGTCAGCATCTTGTTCATTAACACTAACCTCTCAGAGTCTGTAGTCCAGCCCTTCTCCTCTGTGTCCTTGCCATTTTTCTCAGTTTTGTCCTCTTTGTCCTCTCTCTTCCTTCCCCTTTTTTTCCTTTCCTCCTCCTCAGGTGGTTTGCTCCGACAAGCACTGATACAATCCAGCACACGTTGGTGCCGCTCACTGGTGCCCACATGAGTCTTTACTAACGTCTCCAACTCATTCCACATGATCCGATACTGCTCATCACTATATACACAAAACATAAGCATCAACATACATAGTAAACATATATTCACTAACACGACTTTGAAAGTGTGTGCACACACAAATGCTGTGTCAAAATCAAGCAGCATTGTTGCGAAAATAAATGAAAATCTCCATTTCAGTTAACATGTTTAGAAGGCAGCTGACTATGTAGGTAGTAGATAGCATCGCAGCTCACTAGGTTTTGGAACAGAGCCACACAACAAGACAAAAATCGAAACCTGATGTGATATCCTCACCGTTTGGGACCTTTTCCTCTGGAGCCCACGGTTGAAATGGGCAAAGGGTCACTCTTCCTTTCCATATCAACAAGATTATAGACAGTTTTCTGACAAGTAAGCACATCTTCATCTGTTAGAGTGTCCTTCACTATGAGGTTAGCTAACGGTACCACCTGGAATATACAAACAAAGATGACCACAATACACACACAATATGCATGGAAAAAACTGACCAAAAATTCTTCAAAACAGGATTTGCTTATCAACCTTTTTGACTTAAAGGCCCCCCACTGTCCAACACAAGATGATTCAAAGCCCCCCTACATAAAATAATATTACCAGAACTATAAACAAAAACAGTTTTTTATGATTTCGTCATCCTGCGCCCCTCTTGGAAGTTTGCGAAGGCCTTCAAGTGGGCCCCTGGTTGAGAATCACAGATTTAGATGTTGTCCCTCACCGCCTGCATGTTGAAGATGGTGGTCTGGGAGATGATCATTGGCCAGTATCGTGTGTGTCGTTCTAGTTGAGATTTGGCTCTCTCCACTGGAGCTCTGCCTGCTGCATCTACCAACGTGTCCGGGAATGGAGTCAAACGATTCTCACGCATAAACTCACCGAAGTCCTGAAAAGAGATATTAACAAGATTTACTCTGCATGTTGTCACAATTTTTCCCTCTAATGAATTGGATTCATCTGTGGCTGTTGTGAACCGCAAAACGCTTCATTACTAAAGTACCTCTATGATAATGTTGAAGCTTTTGCCATTTTAGTTGTTCGTTTATAGAGAAAGTTGTAATTACAAATTTGACAAAGACATACATGTTGGAAACACGTAATTATGGTTATCACTACATTATGTGAACGCAGCACAAGTCAGTAGGTCAAAGAGAGTGCTTGTTGAGCTTACAGTGATGCGGTAGTCGGTCACTCGGCCACCGCAACCCTCGCTGATGGAGGGCGGGTCCTCCAATGTTGAGCGTGTGCTGTTCAGGACATGCAGAAAGATTTCTCCTCCATGGCTGCTCAACATGTGACTGATGACCTTAGACCCGGACTTGCGGGGCTGCTCTAGTAGCACAGATCGACCTGGTAAGACCCAAGACAAAAGGAAAATATATTGTATAAAGCATGTACTTCCACAGTTTCATAGCCGAGCCTTTCTCTTTCTGTTACCAAAAATATTAACGAGTGAAACTATATACAATAAGAAAAAAAAAATGTATGGTGGGGTAGAGAGATTGTGCACACACACCATTCAACAGGAAGTTGGTGAGGCAGGAAGATGGCCGGCTGTTAACGTCCACTGGAGAAATACGATACGCCCCTGTGCAGTAATGCAGTTCTGCAAAAAGAAAGAAAAATCATGAATTTGTCATGGGACAGAAAGAAGAAAACGTTCCCAGAGTTCCACTCACCTACACTGTTGGTGCGTGGAGTGCACCATTTGAGTGTGACAGTTTCCTTCAGCCCACTGTCTCTGCTGGTGCTGCCGGCCATGTGCAAATCACCTACACATGAGAAACACAAAAATTAGTAACATTCTGCTAAGTTTATCCTTTTCTTTCCCACATAACAATATCAGATTTAGAACATGAATTTACAGAATTTTCATTTTTTAAATGAACTATCCCTTTAATTAAATCATTTATCACTGGTCTATTACTATTATATTCAAAAAATATATCTTTTAATTATGAATATATCTTTAACATGGATCAAAAAGTTTTTCACTTGATACAATTCAAAGACTTTCTCAATATTTAATTAATAAAAAGTGGTAAGTATAGTAATAACGTGTCAAACTTTGAAATGTCTTTATATTCACTCATTGATTAGAGTTTAATCATCAGATACAATACGTTTATTGTTGAAAATATAATGTATGATTGTTTTATAAGCTTATGCTCCACGGGGTCAAAACTGACCTGGAATGTGATAACTGTTTTTTTGGGGGCGGGGGTTTGCGTTATAAAGGTTGAGAACAGATGCTGTGGTCTAATGTCCAAAAGATTTATGCAGTGAAATGTAGGCTGCGTTGGATTTTTGATGCAAAAGACAGATTTACTCACCACTCTTAATAAATTCCATATGTGCATCACGATGGTGCAGAAGCTCAACGTCGTAATTTGCTGAAGTGTTAGCATGCTGCTCCTCCTTCTCACACAAGTACATACACACACAAATACACATACGCATCAGCAGCTGGGCCTCTACACTACTAACACATCACAATCTACTGCTGCTTTCATGTTTGAAGAGCACAGATTATAAAATAACTGTGCCCTCACAGATATGATGTCCACAAAGGCCTCGGAGTCTCCAAGCTTGTTCACATGTTGTGGAGATCAGAGGCTGTAAGCAACAAATAGAGCTTACACACGTTAAGAACAGGAGAAGAGAGGAGAAGGACTGGGAGAACAGAGACGGGTGGACTCCATGGAGCAGGACGTTTCATCCCTGGGGTCACTGGCCTCAAACACACATCTTAAAACTACTGTGTGTTTCTGCAGGGAACTGCAGCTTTTAAAAACACAAGCGACCAGAACAAGAAAACACACTTCACATCCGGCCACACCCAGCCAGGGCAAAATACATCACCCAGAAAGAAGAAAGAGATAGAGATAGCAAAAGCAAAAGAGAAATACCCCAATAGAGAATAAATCTGGGGGCTGAAAGGGAATCTAAAGGGTCAATTGTTCATCCAGCTGGGGGCTAATCTACACTCTGGAGAGCATGGATGTGTGGAATTATTCCTTTAGAATTGTTTAAGTCAACATGAAATGGCTTTCGCAACCCATTTAACTTCCCTGATGTGATTAAAAGTGAAACTTATTGTTAAAAAAACTGATTTTATCCATTAAGAATTGCCTAGATCATAACAAATGGATATTGATCAGTGTGATCCAAACAAGTTGGTTCTGTTCACTGTTTCAAAAACTCTTAGAAATCAGCCGAAATGGTTAAAGCATTAATCTAATTCACTTACTTAAGCGCATTTAAAAACAGTGAGTGTAAACACTTTTTTGCAAGAATGATATTATTTGTACCTTCAAATCTAAAATGATTTGGGGACAGAAAGCTGAGAGCAATAACAGCATTATAATAGAAAGAAAAAAAATGTTTTAACAGAATTGTTAAATCTGACTTTTATTTCAGAGCTTCTTAGTGCATCCAAATAAAAACCCTTTTTTTCTTTAAATTATTTAAGACTGACCAACATTAAATTACAACATTGAGTGCCGACAAGATTTTAGAAAATCTGCATTACATACAAGAGTAGCCAAAAGTGATGCAAAATAGTAAATTCAAGGCAGAATAATATTCAAACAAAGTGTAACATACCTTTTTTTGAAATAACATACATAATAACTGTGAATAATAAGACCAGAAATGTGCCTTAGGAAACTAAATAAGGCAAATTTTGATTTCATGTTGACTTTCTGCATTAAATAAGAATAATATTTCATATATAACTTAAAAAGCATCTTTCCTTAATAGGCCTTATATTTTTACACTGTAAACAGTATTATCCAAATGTATTAGCTGTGCTTAGGAAAGAGCATTTCAAATTATTATAGCCCAATTAAATGTAATATGCATATGTGTTTTTGAAGCTCCCATTAATAATCAGAGATTAGCAAGAGCTGGATGAGGGGGTGGGGTTTTGATCTGGATAAGTAATAGTAGCTCTTGTAAAGTACTGACCTGCTCACAGACATTTAATGTAGGCTAGCAAAACAAACAATAAACCATGAAAACAGCAGCTGTGTAAGCAACCGATACAGTGCAAACAAGTGATGAAGAGAGAAAGAGAGAGACAGGCAGAAATGAGACTGTTTGACAGTCAGTCTGACCTTCATTGGGATGTTTGTGATGGTGGTTGAGGCCAAATCAAAGTGCTGCTGAACCAGCACATTCAGTTTGCAGGCTAGATAGCGTCCAGCTCGCACACTGTGAACCTCACTGCTCAACACTGATGAGAGCTGCACACACAGAGAAGAAAAAGAGACATTACTACACAATAGTGACAACAAATTTGCAGTTTAGTTCTGTTTAATACTGAACCTCAAAAATAACACATAATAAGTTTGAAAGCATGAAAGCAGAATGCTTTAAAAGAAGAGCTGGGAATCAAAATAGAATAGTTTTGTCTCATTTTTAAAAATACTTCTGTTTCATAAAAGTTAAAATGTTGTCAACAATTATGGAGCTGGTTCATTTGATTAAAGGCTCAGAAGATTTTTTAAAATATCTCATTATGTAAATCCCAATGGAAATTCATTTGCATTTAGCGCTAGTGCAGAGAGAGAGAGATGCTACCTCTTTCTTTTGCCGATCCGAAACCAGAGTGTCATCACCCTGCGGGTAGATGTGGACCAGCACAAGCTCACACTGCTGAATTGGCATCATTCTGCACAGTTACAAAAAAAATCACGAACATTTAAAAAAAAAAAATATATATATATATATATAAAGTACAAATAATTCTGTGAGCATAAAAGTAACTCCAGCACACAGAGGTATCAGAACTGACCTGTCAGAGCCAGCTGCCAGTTTGTTCTGCTCCTGAATGGTTTCCAGCACACAGTCCTCTAGCATTCTGACATGAGTGTCACTAAGAGGGAGAGATATATACACACCTTATCATTCAGAAGTTTGAAGTCGTAAGACTTTTTATGTTTTAGAAAGAAGTCACTCATATTCATGCAGTAAAAACACTGATAATGTGGAAATGTATTACATTTTAAAATAATTGTTTTCTATTTTGAAATACTTAAAAAAAAATTATTATTTCTGTGATGACAAATATCTCAAAAAAAAAAAAAACTCATGAAAATGAAGATCATGTTGTAAATAATAGCGAAAAATAACTATTGTTCTACCCCTTAGCGGTTTTTGATATAGTGCTTACCTTTTGGCATTGGTGAGACAGATAATGCGCCCCCTATTGGCCACTCTGTCAGCCGTGTCCATCAGAGCAGTACGAGCCTCATGCTGATATTCTGTAATCTTACACAGTGATTCTACAGCTGCCACCAGCCCATGCAGGACACTGCAGCATTCAGGATCCTGACGAGGGTTTGGAGGCCCAACAGCAGCCAAGGCAGCCATCAGCTGACAAACAGCACAGATACACACTTAACACTAATTCAACACAATGCTCAGATTACTCTGGTACAAGAAAGGTGCTTGATATGGACATGCAGAGTGACAGATGTGCGTTTTACCTCCAGTGTGCTCTGATCTTGCTGCTTCCAGCTGTTCAAGATGTGAACCTCAGAATCGCTCACAATATAGTTCACCTGAGAGACATTGAAGGAATAGTTGAAACAGAAATGTAATTCTGTCATTATTTACTTAACCGCAATTAATTCCTAATTTATATCCTACTTTTTTCTACCATAGGACATAAAAGGAGCATTTAGTAAGAATTTTCACACAGCTCTTTTCCATTCAAAACAGTTAATTCACTGCGACTCTATCTATAAACAGTGCCAGTTTCCATTCACTCACCAGTTTCTTGGTGGGATAAATGTCATAAAGGATTCGACAGTACTCCATGGAGCACTCGATTGCACACGTCCAGAGAGATTTGGAGACTGGAGCAAGAGGAATCACGCCCTGTGAACGGCTTTTGGTCAGCATGTCACATTCAATCAACTGCCGGCTGGACTCTGCCATGTACGGGCAGTGATCGACCACAAAGGCCGTCTTGTGTGAAACTGAAAACATCCTCATCCTGGTCATGCAGCACAGGGACTGTAAAAAATAAAATAGGCACTTGAAATATATGGATTTATGGCAAGAGAAGCAAACCCTGCTCCTGCTCACTGTCCTGCAGAGTTTAGCTCCAACCCTAGTCAAAAACACATAAAAATCCTAATCGATTCATTGAAAATTACAGGCATGTGTGTTGAAGTAAAGTTGAAACTGAACTTTGCAGGAGCAGGACTACTCTTGTTATATGGAAACGTTATCATGTTTTCAACTTCTAGAGAGGTATGAATATATTAACGTTATACACAGAGAGAGACATAAAATATAGTCACTATTGTATAACCAAAGTATATAATAAGAATAGGGTATATATAACATTACATAAACACACACACACATATTATATATATATATATATATATATATATATATATATATATATATATATATATGTATTAAATGTAAATAAACCTGTCAACAGAGTACACAAACAACGAGCATTAGCCTAGTTAAACATAGGTTGACAATTACACTAGACGTGTCTCTGAAAAGAAAATGTCATTACCCTTAAAAAAAGAAATTACTTAATACATGGTTGTCGAGGTTTATTAATTGATAATAATTACGTAAACAATAATAGTTATTATTTAATCACCTTGTGTCACAGAAACGCAGCTAGCTTTAGCTTGCTAGCATCGCCAGCTAGTTTTCCATCGTTGGAGAATACGCACTCAATAAATCCACTCACATAGAAAATAATGGTATATAATTGGATTGATAAACAATAAACAAACTCAAATGACGAAGGGATTACATGTAAAACGGAAAGAGACGAATTAGCAAACGGCCCGACAGAAGAAAAATAAAAGCGCAAGGGACATAATACGCCGTTACTCACATCCGTCTAGTATGGAAAGCCAAATGGGTCAAATTTCGCCACTATCCAAACGCGTTTCATTCTCAAAACGCCGTTGTTTACGGCGTTTAACACGAAAAGACGCCGCAAATTACGGCGTATTGTGGTACAAACGGCGTAAATTACGGCGTTTACAAAGCAAATTCGCCGTCATTTTTGGCGTTTTTTAATCCAGCCAATGACGCCGTTTCTGACGCCGCAGGCCATCCACATTGCGTCGTCAATTACGCCGCTTTTTACGCCGTCTTTGTCAGACAGAAGCGCCGTAATTGACGGCGCAATGTGGATGGCCTGCGGCGTCAGAAACGGCGTCATTGGCTGGATTAAAAAACGCCGAAAATGACGGCGAATTTGCTTTGTAAACGCCGTAATGTGAATGACACGTTTATTTCAATCTTGGTAGTAAAAATAAAAATACATTTGAATGTTAAATTATTGAGCTATAAAGGAGTAATTCATTCACAGTCCATCCATACTCAGAAAACCCCTACAACTTTGGACTTGCTAAGTCAGCCTCTTTGAAATTACAAATACCATTGACATGGAAATTTGTTAACTGGGATATCATTCTTATTCACACGTTTGTGCAGTGTTAACACCAGTAATCTTAAACTTTCCCAAACCTACCCTCTTGTAGTAAAACATTAAAAGTGCAACTAGCTAATTTAAGGAAATAATTTTAAGGTTCCCAGAATGTGAAAAACTACAACACCGGGGATATTCTAAATCAGATTAATCATATTTGTTATGTTAGAGTTATATTCACAATCACAAGCATTTTTGATCCAGTTTTGTGGATCAGAAATGAACTAGTCTGGTCTTGCTAAACTCATCGATGAGTGGGTGGGTGTTCAAACGTTCCGGTGTTCATTACAAGGAAACTCTTCTGCAACCGAACTGACTGGTCCTCTTTGAAACCCCGTGAAACACGGAGTTTGTTTTTTACGATTATCACACGTTATTATGCCGTTATGAACTACTGAACCAAAATCAAACTGCGCGTGTTGGCAGGTTAAACTTTGACGCGTTTCGTTATTAGTTTTTTGTCCCTTATGGCCGTTCATACTAGTAGTGCTACATCATCAGCTCCTTTACTGTGGCGCTTACATCAGAGACGGCGCGCTCGTGCGGCGCTCGAGACACTCCTCGAACAGACAGGCTCGAGACCAGAGCTGACGCATAGGTACGTGGTATGTCATCATTTCTGTTTGACAACACACGCGAGCTCATGATAGGCGAGACACAAGCTTACATTCTGCTTTATAATCCGCTCTGGGGTTATCGGGTTAGTTATAATAAACTGTTCTTTTCAGGTTGATTTTATTTTGATTTATCACCTTTTATGAAGGTATCTATTACAAATGTGACAATTTGATTCTCTGGCCACATAAATATAGCATATTCCTTAGAGTCAGAGCACGTTACATTTTATGAAGGGTGTCTGCCAGAATAAAAAAAAAAATGCACTATCATGGTACAGTTTCGAGTTTACATCGGTGTCCAAAGGTGTGTTTATAGTGATAACAGTTAAATGATTAACGTTAAATGAAGCAAAGCTGCTTTGAAACGATCTGTATTGTATAAAGGCTACTTGTAAAGATAGATCATACTGGTAAGTTCAGTAACGGCAATGCAAATGTGCACAAGCAACCAGAAGGATATGCAGAAAAAATGAGAGTATCCAAAATAGCCATGTGTGATAGCTATAGCCACATTTTTTTTTTTTGTTGTGTGTGTGCAGTTTTCTGCAGGACAGATGTGTTAATGAAGGTCTTTCACCTCTTATGTGTTCCTTATGTATTCTAATATCTGTTTTATGCTAAAGTAGCTCAAAAATGTTTGTAACAGGTGTTTGTGCAGTTCAGCTGCAGACAGGACTTCCATGGCAGAGAAACCTTTAGTCACTGCAGGGAACAACTTCCCGCTGGATTACCGAGGAGAGCAAGGTGTTTCATGTTCCAGACGGGACTCTCGTGGGTGCTTTGTAAACCCTTGGACAACATGGCAGTTCCCCTCCTTGGGTACCATTGCTCGCCTGTTCCTCATGGAGAAGAACAACAGTAATGTGCCCAGTGTCAAAGAGGTAAACAGCACACATTTTGTGCTCGGTTTAGAAGTCACTGATCAGGAATGCATTGATTCGGCAGTGTAATATATATAAATTATAAAATACAGTATACGTTTACTTTTATAGAAAATTACATTAAATGTATAAAAAGTAATCATATATAAATGTATATTATTTATTTTGTAATTAAACATTTATATATAAATCTAAATGTATATTCAGTATTTATGTATTTATAAATGGGCATGAAATGTAAATATGCAATTATTAAATTTAACAAAATTATATGCATTTTTTTATTTCAAATTTAATTTAAAAAAGGATTTAAAAAAAAATTGTTTTCCGTTTTTTTATCCTCGGGTTCTGGACCGCGAGCTGCCGGTTCTGGAGCCGTATTTTGTCCAGAGGCCAGATCAGTGCGGGCAGACGGGCCCATCTGTGCGAGCGACCTGGCTGGGTCACGCCTCTGTTCTGGTGGAGATGGAAGGACTGGTGGTTTTGACTGATCCCATGTTCAGCCAGAGAGCCTCTCCACTGGCATTCGTGGGCCCGAAGCGTTACCGTGATCCGCCTTGCACTGTAGAACAGATTCCTCGCCTGGACGCTGTGGTCATCAGTCATACACACTACGATCACCTCGACGCAGGCTCTGTGGCAGCGCTGAATGTTCGCTTCGGTTCTGGTTTGTGCTGGTTTGTGCCGCTTGGGTTGGCCGAATGGATGAGGAAGGCCGGCTGTGAGAACGTCACAGAGCTGGACTGGTGGGTGGGGAGCCGCATTCCCGGGCATGATGATGTCACGTTTATTTGCACGCCTGCACAGCACTGGTGCAAACGCTCGCCTGTGGATGAGAACAAAGCATTATGGGGTAGCTGGACTATCATAGGGCCCAATTGTCGCTTCTTCTTCGCTGGGGATACGGGATACTGTTCAGAGTTTAAGGAGATCGGAAAACGGCTTGGACCGTTTGACCTGGCTGCCATCCCGATCGGAGCGTACCTGCCCAGGTAAGACTGTAAAGAAGAGCTGTGTGTATAAAACAAAATATCATTAATTAATGAATCTTGATTTTACTTGTCTTGTATAGAGGGATCATGAAGTCTCAGCATGTGGACCCTGAAGAGGCTGTTCTGATTCACATGGACATTCAGGCGAAAACATCGCTGGCCATTCACTGGGGGACATTTGCTTTGGCCTATGAGGTATCAGCCCATCTTTCTCTCGCTCTCGCTCTCCCACACATCAATTTTCTCAGTGTGAATGGCTTTCACTGAGCTGGCCAGCGGTCACTGCTCTGATTGTGTGTAATAGCTGTCCAGCTGCAGTTGGGGAGTCCAGTCTTTGCAGTTGTAGTCAGTGCCTTCAGAAAAACGCCCCCGTTTTCTTTAAAAATGTGATGCAATATACAGGATATTTATGCATTTTTATGCAACGAAATTGCAAAAACTGGTTTGATTAAAAAAAAAAGTGATTCCCCCAACACCGTTCTCACTAGGCTACTAAAGAGTCATTTGTTATTAATTTCTATGATAAGCAAACATACTACACCACAGAAAGTCCTGGGACTATTTAATTTCTCATCTGGTTTTATTTCAGACGTTAATAAATACATCAAACTTACAAAACCTTGAGCTTCACAAAAGTAATATGCTACAACTTCTGTAAAAATGTAAAAAATCAAATCTAAAAAAAAGAAAGTGTGCTGTTTTACAGCTTTTCGATAATGTTCACGTCGCATAATTACATCACTTTATAACGTTCCCATTGCAACAGGGGGAAATGGCTGCTCTTGAAACACAACATTTTTCAACTTTCTGATATATGTGACTTTTTTGCAACGAAAATGCGAGGATTATGAAGTCATGCAAGCCCCACATATTTTGCACGGAAATCTAATGCGTCGAAAGTGCGGCGTATTTGAAAAAAATTCGGATTTGGCTGATTATGCACTAAATTATACGATCGCATAATTGCGTTTTTCTGGAGGGACTGTGTAGTATTTCAGGCTTCACTGTTGTGCCACGTTTCCACTGTTTATTGTTTCCATGCTTCATCTGGCTCTGGTTTGAGCTGGTTTCTAGATTACAATTAGCGGATTAAGTCAGTTTAGAGAACTTACGTTTTACTGTGTCTCAGGATTAGGCTAGCATTGTTTATTATATTTGTCAGACCGAGGATTATTAAGGGGAGAAATTATTCTGACCTTTATTTAGGTCTCACTTGGTGAACTAGTAATTCAGTATTTGGATTGGGGATTGTTATTGCACCAAATCCGGAATAAATTACAATGCAAAATCGTTAGAAAACAGTTTACTTAAATTGTAATATTTCTCTTAATTATTATTATGAGCACAAGAGATCCCGTAACCTTTGAACAGTGGTACATATTAACTACTACAAAATGTTTTATTAAAATGTTTTTGAAAGAATTGAATTAAATCCTGTTCCTTGCTGTTTATTTCTCTCTCTCTCAGTATTATCTTGAGCCTCCAGCACGTTTGCGTGAGGCTATGGTGAATCAGGGACTGAATCCAGATCAGTTCTTCACGCTCCATCACGGAGAGTCACGCATGATCAACCACAAGGACTCGTCCAGCTAAACCATAACACGGGAAGTGTGCAGACACACACATACGACTGCTTTACACAGGCTGCATTTTTATAAATCATTTGGAATATTGTGCTGATCCAGTGGCTGGACTCTGGATTTAATGCAAAATGAATGTATTATATTTCTATTTTGTTTAATATAATTTGTCATTTAAAATATCATGGAATGACCATAATAAAACAACATCTGAGTTTAACCTGTGTTTCGAAGCTCTGCTGGCTAGAAGAACATGGTTCAGGTAAGAACAATTACCTGTGAACACTGCAGCGTCCATAAGACGGAGAAGAACCAAACCTTAAGAAATTCACTTTATTTGCAATTGTTTAATAACATCATTCCTCAGATAAAAATGCAATATTACAGGAATATACAGCAGAGATTAATTTAAAACTTCCTGTCAAGAACCATACAATCTAAAGATATTTTTTAGTTTTTATTTACTGGTAGCGTGCGTTATAAGCAAGACACACTCTGTCACCAAAGACAGACTGACAGATACAGATACAAACTGTACAATCACTTATGTACAAATCCAATTTTTTGTTGTTTTTTTCTTTTCACTTTTTTTTTTTGAAAATAGGAGTAGAAAAAGTGATTGAATCTTCAGATTTACGTAGCGTATTCTTTTTAAAATCTAAATGAACAAATGAAAGAATGATGGAATGAAACAAAAGAGTCAGTAAAAGTAGAGGAGGGAATGACAGACCATGCAGACGTCTCACAGACTTATCAATAACACCTGGGGTCTAAACTCGATTAAATAGTCCAAAATGTGAATGACCTCTGACGGTGTTTCGTGAGAGTCCTGAATGGTCAGCACTGATTCCTTCGAATTCTACCAAAAGCACGACACGCATCTAATTTTACTTCAGCTCGTAAATCTAACAAACAGCTCAGGACCTTGAGACTACTCTTCCCGTCCGCACCGTCGATCAAAACTAGAGAAGCTGCTAGTGTGGTCACCGAAATAAAGCCACTGAGACGACCCGCTCAGATTTGATGGACTTGAGTGGTTAAATGACAACCGAATCGCATCAAAATAGTGTGACGCAAATTCGCCTTTCAGCCAACAGAAAGACTTGTGGGACGGTGTAGATGAGTGAGCGTGAGGGAATCAATTCCCTCAGTTCTCTCCTACCCTATATACTATAGAAAGAGACCCAACGAATCAAGACCAGAGCTGGAGCATTATGTCCATCTCTGCAGAAAGATAAAGAATAAGCCATTGCAACATGTTCACTCATACATGGAGATTTGTGCAATTCGAGCTCCTCATCACAATCGTTATCGTTCTGATCATTTCTTAGTCTCCAGTGCTACATTCGCTGGGTGGAACTAGAGGTGGGGAAATGCCACTTAAAATAGAAATGGTTCTGCATTCATTCGGCCCTACCCGTGATTTCGGATTTCGAAAGCAGTCGGTGCTCTTAAAAACGCCGAAGACCCGTCTCACCTACTGCAGGAAACAGCCTGAAACAATCTGCATTCATTTATCGTCCCACCTGTTGAAATGAAACTATGGCAAGATTGACATTTTGAGCTTAGGGCGAAATTAATAATTACACGACGACAGCTAAAATCTATGCATAAATTCATCCTTCACTTGGATTGTGTACGATGTGTCGAACTAAATGTGGTTTAAATGTGCAAATTGTGATTATTGCATCACCACCTTAGCTTTTAATTTATCATTAAAACTCATTAACAAACTACATTAACTTATAATATCAAATTAACAGTCATATAAAGGAGGACATTAGAGATACGTGCTACACAAAGGTTAAACCAGAGGGCAGACATTGCAGCTGTCCAGGTTTCCTCTGGGTCAAAGGTCAACCCCACGGCACGTTCCTTCAGTCTGACACATGCGGAATTAGCCAACGAACACAACATGAACCCAGAAACACCAGATGTGCATTACTGGGTTTATCCAAATAAAACAAAAACACCCTAAAGACTGTGGTTTACTGTAATGTTTTGTGAACTTGAAAGGTTATAACAATGCTGCTCAATTGCTATGGATAGTTACATACATTCTAATCAAACAATTTTTTCAATTTTTCTTTTCAATATATCCTTTTTGTTATTAGGGAAACGTGCGTGTGCTCTACTGCTACTGATGGCAAATCGAAAATATAAGCCACAACCAATCAGAGTCCATCAGGAGAGCGACCTACACTTCCCCCACTTGAAATATCACGACTTTGGCCGTTCCCTCCAACCAGATCTGATAAATATTTCTCGTATATTAAAATATATAAAATAACTTCTGATTCTCTGAGAGAAGAAAAGCTACATTACAACCATTTGGGCAAAAAACCTCACTGAGCAACTAATAAAATATTCAGTCAAATATTTGGTACGTTTCCCCAAGGCCTGAGCGGACAGCTCTCTGTGTTCATTCATTAGTGGTTTCGTTTAACACAGGGGCTGCTTTTGTGTCACGAAAGCTCGTGGCTTTTCCACACCGTTCTATCATGTGCAGGTGCTCGGAGGGGAACGTGATGCGTTGATCTGAATAAAGCAGCGGTGAAAAAGCCCTCGGATTTGAAATCTCTTGATTAATCTCATTGCACTCCTCCCTCAGCAAAAAAAAACGCCCAACCATCCTGCTTAAAAACAGGCCGTACGACTGGAGTTTCAAAGGAGCTACTGCGGTGAATAACGAATGATTTACTCTATATTTCTCTATCATAAATTTAATTTCTATCTATACATAATCACTACATACATTCTCAAACACGGTTGTGTGTAGCCATTTTAACCCTGACATTCAGCAGATATAGATGAGTTTATATTGTCGCTTTTCTAGTGTTAATTCTTTTCTAAGTCTATAAAAATATACAATCATTGGCAAATGAAGGGAGAGGACGACTCCGTCTGCTAGGTTGATTCTTAAGATTCCATGCAAACGCAACCAAAAACGAGAAATAAATATTCAAGCATAGCATCCAAATCCATTATTTCCAACCTAAATCTCCTCGCCGAATGCGGATTGTCCATGAGGCTAGAGAAATGACAGGGGATTTCTAATGTTTCCGCTTGCAGCCTTAAATAATAGTGAGAATTTATGTGCATGACCAACCATTTAGAGTGAGCCCATTCACCGGCATGCGGATGCCGTAATAAAACGCCTTCACTGTGATGTCTGCTGAAGAAAGGACAAGGAGGGTGAGTGAATGAAAAGATAAAAGGGGAAAAAAGCGCGCGCGAGAGAGAGAGCTGCTCTTGCGTATCATGCACCTTTCAGCTGAGCACAAGATATGCAAAATCATTTTCACACCAACGAGACACTTCTCTTCTCCGTCTGTATTTACACCTTCACTCCTCGTCATCAGTGTTTCCTCAATGTTTAAAATGAAAACAACAAAAAAAAAATACTCAAAACGCTTGGCACACCAAAAATAATCCTCATGCAGAGATAATTGAAACCAACGGAAGAAAAACATCAAACCAAACTGACCCGCACAAGATTTTCAAAATACTCAATACTCAAATGCACCCGATTTCAAGTATGACAGGTTTCTTCGATTTTAAAGTTCTGTAACTTAATACACAACAGTGAATATATTTCTCTCTGTATCTTAGATTTTTGTACAGCTGTAGTTCTGAAAGAAAACTGTTGTACAGTCAAAGTTATTGCATTGTTTTTGCATATCTTGTGGTATGCAAGCACATACGCATGCACTCACGCACTTATCCTGCATAAACTAACACGAACACCACACAAACACGCTCGTTTCTGCACTCTGCATATGCTAAACACGGAGAAACTCGCACACGTACACAACCAAGGCCTCGAAAATATGCCTGGGGCAGCCTCACAATGACATATGGCACGTGTGTGGAGGAGATATGAGGGCGAGGTGGCGGCTTTGGAACAGAGCAGGTGGATTCTGGCTACATTTGTCACGTTTTTTTTTTTTTTTTTCACAATCTTTGCATCATCCTCAGAGCAGAGACCTCCTGTAAACAATCAGGAACTCTATCGCACCCACAAAAACAGCACAGGACCAGAGACAGAAATCAAATGGAATGGTTGAGGCCTGAAACGAAACGCCAGGACGCTCGGTGTAGAAAGGGAAGAGTCGGTTTGACAAAAATAGTCGATTATCTTTTCGTGTATGGAAAGAGAAATTTATATGGTCTGAAGTAGTGTGCAAAACAGTGACAGAACTTCTAACTTCGGAGAGAGATGCCTGGAAGTGGATTTCTCATCAGCGGATGTGTTTAGGGGACACCTTCCATCAACACAATGCTAATGCTTCAACACCTTATTTGCATAATAGATCAATAAGTAGTTCTCTGTGTCTGCCGAACTGCATGGAAACAGCAGAAAAATATCCTTAACGATAATAGTAATAATAATAATAATAATAGCGATCAATAACGTTGTATGATGATGACACTGCTGATGTTGGTACTTTCATAATGATGATCATATATTTAGCCCTGTGTGAACTACATTAGTTTGTTTGTTTTCTCTTAAATGATGCGCTACCCAGACATCCCTGAATACTCCACCATTCTTCCTCTCTTCAAAGTGCACCTTATTTACTGACCTTCCAAAGATCTGCTGTTTCCTGTGTCGAGCAGGTGGGATCATGACAGAATCGCAGCTGTCAGCTGAATGTTTCTGGAGATCAGCAGTGAAGAAACGTCAGTAGTTTCAGAGCAAAACGCGAGTCCGATCCAACAGCAGCAAGGGGAACCGTGAGACCTGTCAGTGCTGCCTGATTCCAGGCGCGTGACACTGCTCATTTACAGCTTGTGAGCTACCGATAAACATTGTGAGTGAGACACGCTTCACCTCTGACAGGAATGAATAAATAAATAAATAATTGGTTGTGTCAGTAAGAGGCATTAGATTCACAACACTGCATCTGGCATAAACATCTTAAATGCCTTCAATAATAATAAGAATAATAATTTAAGAAGAAAAGAAAAAAAAAAACAGCATCCACCTGTGTGCAATCCATGATAAACATTATAAACACTAAATGCTGGAAGATAAAAAAAAATAAAACATGAAGCAGATCTCGAATAAAAGGCCACTGATGCAATGACCCGTACCTTGCATGGCTAGCAGCTACCTGAAAGCCGAAACGGTACACGAGAAAAAGAAATTTGGGAGTAAAAAAAAAAAAAAAAAGTGCAGGCTTACCTAGAGAATAATGGGTGGAAATCAAATTTAACAAGCAGCAAAAATCATTAGCTGAACGAGAAAGCCGAAAAGGAGACGGATGACATTTCTCTTGATAGGAAAGAGAGCGAGAGCCGCTCCAGTGTGTCTCTCTGAGCATCTCTTGAACCCCTGACGGCTCCCGGGCCAACAAGATCCACCTGCTCGGCACAACACGTCCACGCCGATGAGACGGCCGTCGAGTCCTGCCATTACACACACAGGTCAGCTCCCACCGGTGGACAGATCCCACTGCTTGAGCAACAACAATTCCCTTAATTCCCTGCTCGGTCAGGGTTGTTTTTCCATTTCCTTACTGCGATCAAGGTTGTGAGAACTGTGAGGCACTTTTAGAAACACGCACACAAACATGTACACACGCCTACTCGCTCGTGCTCTTGCAAACACACAGACGAACTAAAAACCAACTCGGTCTCAGCTAAGCAGAATGGCCTTATACCCCTACGGTAGGTACACGCAACAGACGGGTCAGACTGCAGGACAGCAGTGTCCTCGGAGAGAGCTGGGCTAAGACACAGGAAGTCCTCCGTGCTGCTGCTGTTCCCCCTACAAGCTTGTCACGCACTCCATATCTTCGTCGTCCATCAGAACGCTGTTCCTCTGCCCAGCCCCCTCGGACTGCTCTAACTCCGTCCCCAGCAGCTCATCAGAGCCTGTGGGGGTGGAGAGGCCCAGTGCGTGGCTGCAATGGGACTCCTGTGAGCCAGTGTCTCTGCACTGCATGAAGGGTAGCAGGTTTCCGTTGGCGTTGGGCGGCGCGTTAGCATTGAGAATGTTGTCAGCGGCGTTCTCCATCTCCTCCATGGTCATGTCGCAGGCGTCCGCTAGTTCCTGCTTCGCTACCTGGATGAAGGTGGGATCCTGTGCATACCGACCCAAACCCTCAGATATCAACACCTGAGTGGAGAAAGTAAGACTTTGAGGACTGTAGACAAGACACTACAAAAAAAACCCAAAAACAGTCACCATACACCACACACCATTAAGCGTTTTGGTCGATCAGAAGTAGACGAGCTTGTACTTGGAGAGTGTTTTAATCTCAATCCACTTTCAATCACTTCTGTACTGATTTATTTGAGAGGAGGGTCAATGGGCGGGTAAATGTGTGAGCTTTTTCTGATCTTTCAATTTAATGGAAGAAATAAGCTCACAATTTAGATATGAACGCAACCGAAGATGACGAAAAAACATACGGAGAGCGTGAGAAATCAGGAATGGTAAGGGAACATTGTGCTTGGGAATTTTTTTTTTTTAATCTTCAAACCAAACTTGGGTCTTCAGTCAACAAAGTTTAAATCCCATCTGGCTAGCGCACTTCCCATAATAATAAGAACACAATTGACCACGAGCATTTACACTACAAAACGAATCCGATCTAATGTGTTTTCGACTATCTCAAGAAGTTGTCGAAAGAGGACAAGCTCAAAGCGTTTTAGACCCCGTTTACATCTGTATTTAGCGTTGCCCACTTGTGATCCGATCGACCAAAATGCATCTTAATTCCAGATGTAAACAGGGCTTGAAAGAAAACGTTTTGGAACCAAAACAACCGACAATTTTAAGATTTACCATTGCCTTAAACAAAAAATAATGGTTTTCCCAGTTAAGTCTTGCATAAAGTGAGGGAAAATGCATCTTACCGCCTCCACAAGGCTGCCGGCGCTCCCGTGTGCCAGGGATATGGAGTCTCTGCGCGAGACCGGCGGAACCGTGAGGGACACGGGTCGCTGCGTCCTCTGCACGCTCCTGCTGTGGTTGCCGTTACTGTCGCTGTACCACGAGCTGCAGTTCACAGACGGCATGCTGCTGTTGAGTTTCTCGTAAGATCCGCTGCCCTCCAACCGCAGAGAAGGAACGGGCTGGTAGCACGGCCCTCCCCCGCCGCGGCCGCTGGGACTCGCAGGAGGTGTGGAACACAGACGCGTGAACAGCGTCGGAGAATGACTCCGTCTCAGCAAGGGACTTAACCCCGCCACAGCCAGAGCCTTTGAAAACCAGATGATGAATGAGTGAAAAGGCTTCAAAAAAGCCTTTGTCAAGCATGTGTGTGGATAAGCTCACCTGATGATGCACTAGGTGCAGTGGTAGTGCTGTCTTCTGAGAAACATCAGGTCTGTTATGTTTTCTCAGACACTCCAAGTGAAAGGAAGACCGTCGACCTGTTAAAAAGTAAACATCCATTTAACTTCAGCATCACATCTGAAGCAAAACTAAAGATTGTATGGGTACAGTATGTATGTGTGAATTTACTCAGTGCAGTGGGGCAGAGAAAGGCCCGACGCCGTGGAGACTGCCACAGCCTCCTCTCCTCCTCTACATCCGCCTCCACCATGGGAGCCAACTGCTTGCTCTCTTCATCCTGAAATTCCAGCCTGCACCCAGCACACACATTCAGAATATTAATATATTAGGTAACACTTTATTTTGATGGTCCACTTTAGACATTCTACTAACTATAAGGAAATTTGCAACTCAATCGCATAGGCTGTCTGCTTAAAATCATTAATAAAAACTCTTTTTTTAATTGTCCCCCAACAGACAATCTACTGTCTATAAGTATCTTTGCAACTACAGTACATATCATCTTATTCTAGTAACCTGAACCCTAACCTAACAGTCTACTGATACTCTAATGAGAGTTGCTTGACGCAGATGTAGTTGCAAAGTTACTTTATAGTTAGTTGAATGTCTGAAGTGGACTCGATATATCAGAATATTATTCTTTCTAGGAGGCTGAATCTCACGAAACTGTCAAATTTCACCCCATAATAAAGAATAAGAAATTATATTTTGTGAAGTTTGGGGTCAGTAGATTTTTCAAGATTTTTATGTTTTTGAAAGAAGTCTCTTACTGTATGTTGCACCAAGGCTGCATTTATTTGGTCAAAAATACAGTAAAACAGCAATTGTGAAATATTACAATTTAAAAGAACCGGGTTTCTATTCCTTCTATGAAATTTCGCGTCTTTGTACCAAATCTGTCATTTTTATAGAAGGCAATAAGCTACCTGAAGTCATGCATCACTGTATCGCACACCCTCTTGTGGCTTATTGTTGAATTAAATGTTCTGATTTTAATTTATGTAAAAGCAGAATATTGAAGTCTTACATGTCCATTGAGAGCATGGCCTGATCTCTCTCATCTAGAAACGTTTCATCGTACGTCTCATCCGTAGACGCTTCCTCTCTGCGTATTATAGGGAGACGACTGTCACTGGAATCAGAGCTACACAAGACACACATCAACACACACAGGTGAACTATAAGCATATTGCACATCTATCATCTGCTCTTCAGAAAGTGAGGAAACCTCACCTATAACTTTACAGATAACAGCAGTTACTCTCTCCTCAAGCTCTCATAAGGCTGATATAATGTGAACAATCAATTGAAGCAGCTTACGGTTTGTTTTGTCTGAAGCACTGCTGTCTAACAAACCGCATTGTACAGTTATAACTGATTGTGTCACATTACAGAAGCGCTGATATTATTTTTGCATGGAAACCTTATGATACTACATTTAAGAGGAGAAATGTTTTGTCAAGGGGCACTTCATAAAGACTGGAGCTCCACTAACAGAAATAACTGTATATCCTGTTTTTTTTGGGGATTGTGCTGAAAACATGTAGTACTTCCTGTTTAATAGCTTGCAGGCAGAGCTACATGTATATTTTGGTCGAAATGAAGAGCCCCTTCAGTACAGCCTAGTAATGACCAGCAGGAAGAGCTTCAACACTTACACCTAACATGGCCGAGCAGAGCGGTTTTCAACTGGTGGGTCGCAAGTTTTGATAGCAGGGGAAAATAATGCAACAACCATACAAACATGCTTAGTTAAACCTTAATCTATTTGTTATGTTGATGTCAAAGGGTCTACATTCAAGTATTTAGCAACAAATTCATCTATCAGCAGTGCTATTAAATATTATATTTATTAATATTTTGAATTAGCTTTTTATTTCAATTTTTATTTAAGTTTAAGTAATTTTAGTAATAATTAAGTACTTTAACTTGTTGAACATGAACATATTTCACGTCAGCAGGTTTGTGTGAATTTTTCATCACTGATGGCATGAAATCTGGGTTCAGAAGAATAACCAGTTGAAATCCGCGGGCCTAGCACATGCTCATTCAGCTGTCAGCCAATCAGGAAAGCTGCTCACAGATCCTGCTAAATAAACTTATGCATGGAGTGGATCTCTCAACACACTGGAGAGTGTGTGTTGCACACATTTCGCTTCAGATCAACCCCAGTATGGACAGAGCATACAACAGCCCTCCAAAGAGATGATGTCTCTCTCTGTCTCTGTGAGAGGAACGTACCGCATGAAAGAATCATAGAAACAGCTCCTGGTTCAAATCAGGGGTGAGATAAACCACAATTAGGAACCATATTCGAACAAACCTGAAAATCTCCCCACTAACTCGCGCATCTGCTTTAGTACAGAAAGCACATGGCATCCTACCTCTTATTAGGAAAGCACCATGTGGGCCGTGGCAGTGGGACGGTGGTGAGGGGAGGCCCCGTTTGTCCGTCCACTGTGCTGATGGTAGGTTTGGGATACCGGTGTCCGATGGCTGTGTTGTTGGCGTTGTTGATGTTTGCGTTGGATCCTGAGGAAGAGTAACTGCTCGGAGTGAAGGTGGAGTCGACGAGCTTCTGATGAGAGGGAGATTCTGCCTCGCCGGGACTCCCGGATTTACTGATGTGCAATGGCCGCTGTGTTGTGAAGGATTGTGGGAAGGAGGCGTGACCATCACTCTGGTTATAATAGTTGACGTGGTTCCCGAAGAGGCCCCCAGACCGCTGCAAAGACAAATATGTGAGCATGAGAGGTCACATTTACGCAAACCTGATCATCTCTCCCCGTTCACACCTGGTATTAATATTTTCAGGGATTTTTAGAAGATTTCAGGGATAGATGTTAGTGACATGATGTCTTTTGCAAGTACATGTTTGCATGGATGTAAAACTTCAGATTTTTTTTTCTCGTTTTCTCATGATCAACTTAATTTTCTTTTGATCTCAACAGGGCATAACACTCAATAAGATTTTTAGATTATACTATACTTTTTTATTATACTTATATTATATTATACTATTTTATATTATACTTATATTATACTATTTTGTGGTTATTACTACTAAATTCTATAATTATACTATTATTAAACTCATTTGGTTTGATTTCTACAGTTTCTTGATTTGTACAGTAACATGCTTTCAGCTATATTTAGTGATGTCTACATCTGATTCGGATTACTCAACACAAATGTTAATACCAGGTAAATGAGGCCAAACAGACACACATACACTTTCCACTTCCTCTGTTCACTCTGCACTTACATTCAGACAGCAGTGATGTTTTTGATTTTTCTAAACCATCTACAAATGTACTTCATCAACACCACTGATGACTAAATCCAAATGAATCATTCTTAATAAAGTTATTTCCTTTAAAACTTGATCTGTATGATGAGGGCAAAGCGCTGCTCATTAATGACTTGTGATATCTTTAGAAGTAAAGCTTGTAAAATTGGAAACGTTTATGAACTTATTATGAACATAATGATTTTGTTCAACTTAATAACAAATGGAAAAAATAATAATTTAAGGCCTCCAGTGCTGAGCAATGAATCTAAACAAGCAGCTCTGCCACAGCAACCCTTCACAGCCAGGAAAGGACTCTGGTTTGAAGATCCGGCTGATGGTCGCATGCAAGTGGGCAGAAGCTCCGGCAGCAGAAGCGATGACGTGAGCAGAGAAGAGAGGAAATAAGAGGCAATATCAGACCTTTACCCTGAAGATATCATCCTCAGAAGCAGTACACACGGTTTCTTTCATGGCTCTCTCCAATTCCTCCTCCACAGTCAGGTCCCCTGATATCGCTCTTCTGATCTCAGGACCCATATCATGCAGTGTACGCAGGCCAGCCTGGTCAGAACACACGCAGATTCATATGCTAACAAAAACACACTTCTCAGTTGTAGCAGGTGAAAGTGTGCATGTGGTCTTCTGTACCCACCTGCAGTGAAAGAGCAGTCTTTGGGGGAATTTTGGCCACCAGGCCCTGTTCCTTGCGCTTCTTAAATTTCCTGAAGTATTCCTGAATCAGGAATGTGGCATAAAACTTCCCCACTGTTACTTCATCATCTGTTGGGCAAGGTAACACACACACTCAAGTTTTGTTTGTTGTGCTGGGTGGTTATGTTGCTTCCTGCATTTTTCTTTTAGTTAATACATATCAGTTTAAGCTCTTGAAATACACTTGACAGTTCTAGGACAGGAGACTACATTTCTTTTTATTTTTAATTTACAAGTTTGGGGTCAGACAGATTTTTTTTTTAATTTATTTTATTCAGCAAAAATGCATTAAACTGATCAAGTGTCAGTGAAGACTTTTACATTGTTACAAAAGATCTTCAAACTTTCTATACATCAAAGCAGGATATTAGATCGTGTGACACTGAAGACTGGAGTAATGATGTTGAAAATTTAGCTTTGCATCCCAGGAATAAATGTACATTATATTCAAATAGAAAACAATAATTGGTAACTATTTAAATGTCTGAGTAGTGTACTGAAACGTAAAACATAAACCTTTTCCCACCACCCACCTCCAGCAGGGGGAACAACTTGATCCAGCAGCTTCATACTCGTCCTCTTCCAGATCTTCTTCACGATGGCCCTGAGTTCCTCATTCGCTTGTTCCAGGTTACCTGATTCAAAGCAAACACATTCAAGCAGTGACTGATAAAGATTTGTCCGTTTTGAAGGTTAAAGGTTAGTATGTGTATTAGGGTTATGCGTGTGTTTATGACCTGCATAAGTATTGTGTGACATTTTCACACCTTCAGTTTTGATTCGTAAAGCCGTCCGTACTAGAGCAAAGAGAGTAGCGTTGAACATCACCGTTCCGTCGCTATTGAGAGGCATGTTCATGGACACAAGCCGCTGCAGATGCACGCATTAAAATAAGTCAAGCATTGTGAATAATGCACTGTAGAATTAGTTTGTTTCGTGATTTTGGGTACCTTGCAAGCCACTCTATGTGGACAGAGCTTTCCAAATCCAAGGGGAGGCTGAATCCTGCGTAGTAAGGTCACCACATCCAGGTGCTTTATCCGACCCCTGCAATCGCATTGAAGTCCGATCTCAACTTTAGTAATAATAATCAATGATTATTCATAATAAGATCTAGAGACTGCAGATGATTGGAGAGAGCGGAAGTGTGAAAGATTGGCAAAACAGGAAGTTACTGACTTGGCCTCAGGATCGTATTCCGCCCATATCCTCTTGAACTCATCCAAATGATGCGGCCCCAATATTGACCAATCACGAGTTAAATAGTCAAAGTTATCCATGATGACGGCCACAAAGAGGTTAATGATCTGTGGGAGGGCAAGGATCTGAATCATCTTGTGTTCACGAAACCCAGAATCACACCCGCTGCTTCTGTTATTATTATGGATATGTTAAACACTGATGTCGTGCTAGTGGAGGTGATTTCATAGCAAATCTCACAGCTGATATACAATAACACAGTTGCTAGGGTAAGGAATCTCGATATCAACTTACCAGGAAGGCGCAGAGCATATAAAAGCTGACAAAGTAGATGATGGCAAAGTGGCTGCCACAGTCTTCACTGGAATTGCCGACCTCTGACCCCTTCTCACACGGGCGGTTCGGAGAACAGGCCAGCATGATTTCCTGCCATGCCTCCCCTGTTGCACACCTACACAAATACACAAGCTCACAGTGACAACGAGACATCAAACGAGTGAAAGAGCAAAAGTGAAAAGGTAGCTGACCTGAAGAGCAGCAGAACAGCCTGAGGAAACGTCTGGAAGTTGTTGTTTCGGTTGATCTGGCTGTTGTCCCTCAGGCCAATCTTACCAAACATCTGCGGAGTCAGACACATCACTCAGCATCAACACGTACAAGTACAGGAGCTACTGTATAACAGACATGAAGTCATTTCCTTGAGGAAGATGAGGAGGGAGTGTGGAGCAAATGAAGCCGGGTCTGACCTGCATCCCAATGACGGCATAGATGAAGAACAGCATTACGATCAGCAAAGCGACATAGGGAAGAGCCTGTGAACAAAGAGAGGGAGATGGAGAAGGCGAAAGAAAAAGGAAAGATTAATTATACAAAGCATAAAATATAAGTCCACTTTCTGTTCCTTTTCACTCGTAAACCTGAATTTTTTTTTTTTAAACAAAGTCTGGACCCCAGTACAGTTACACAAAGATGCAGCCTAATTTCATTCTTCTCACCTGAAAGGATTTAATGAATGTCCAGAGTAGCGTCCGAATGCCCTCTCCCCGAGACAGGAGCTTCACCAGCCTCATCACGCGGAACAGCCGAAAGAACGTGATTGAGATCCTGGCGTTATCTTCAGTGTTTTGGAGTCCCTTTTTCAGCATGACAGATACAAACATATTACAGATACAAGAGTGTTCATGGGGAGGCACACACACACACACACACACACATACGCTCAACCATCTGTACACCACCAAGAACAATTCAAGGTGACACACACACAAATTTAATATGTCTACTACAGCATGTTAAACACTTCCACCAATAGCATACTACAGATACACATTGGATGTCTGGTGGCTTTATGAAAAAATGACAATTTTCCAAATGGATGCAAAGCATTAATAGATGTCCACCACAATGCACAAAACCCCTGAAGGAATAATCTTTCCAGCTAATCACATATAATATACTCTACAGCACTAACCTGACATGGAAGCATATCACTGTATTACAGGTGATATTAGAACACAGACATTAAACCACAGGCGAAACTTTTATCTCGTCCTTTAACATCTATCATATATATCACGGCACATTTCCACCACATGAGCAAAAAAATAAAATAAAAAATAAAAAACTATCATACTTTGGTAAGTCATAATTATGACAAAAAAAGCAAAAATTAAGAGACAGTAAGTCATATGAGATCAAAAGTCCCAATAATGAGCAGATTGTTTTTTAATTATAAGATAAAAAATTGAAATTATGAAATAAAATGTCATAATTATGATCAACACTAACAAAAGTCAAAATGACGGCCACTATGACATCATAATTCTCACTTATCTCATAATTATGTATGTCGACAAAAAAATTTGTATCACATAAAACAGTGAGATAGTGTCATAATTTTGACTTAGTACATCATAATGACAATTTAAACATTTTATGTCATAATTAGGATTTACGTGACTTTTTATTTTCCCTTATGTGGCGGGAATGAGCATAGTCATTTGTACACCTTTTAAAATTTTACTTCTATATATCTAAATATATATATATATATATATAATTGCTGCTCGCTGTTTTAAAGGTGCACTCAGTGTTTTCTCTTTAAAATAGGTTTACAAATAGAAATTAATTTGTAGTTGGTTAAAAACTACAAAAATTGGTTAATATTTAAATAAATCAACAGTCATAACGGTCACCTAAAAAGCGGTTTTGTTTTCATGGAGAGGGTGACCTCACAGAATTTGTATTTCTTGCCAGTGTGAAATCCACTGACCAACCAAATCTTGACAAGACCCCTGTTGTCTGACACTTTAACTCGTGGAAAATATTTGATATGCATGACAGCGAATAGTGCATTTCTTCAATCAATGGCATTGGTTGGTAAAATTTTACTTTGATATTATTTGATGCATCCACACCACTAGGTGTCAGTGTAAGCACAACACAAATAATGACTCAGTGCACCTCTAAAAATGGCTAATACCTACATCTGCACACACATGCCCTGTAAAAACACATCAAACAAACCAAGCAAAACTGAGAAAAAGCTTCATGCATATGGACATCGCACAGGAAATCGTCTTTTCACAAGCCCCCAGCTTATTTCAGAGCTCTGCCACACAGATGGTGAACTGTCACATCAGAGCCGACCAGCAGAGGCCGACACTGGACCACACAGAGAGAGAGCGATGACCATGTGACTAGAGCGCATCAGTGACAGGCATCGCAGCCTAGGGGAGGGGAGAGGTCGAGGCAATGGACACACTACCAGCATATACACGTGCCTGCCCAATGCCACAGTGATGAGAGAGAACACGTGCGTTCATGCCGAAGTCACGTGGTGAATGACAGGTGGTGATGGACAGGTTGACAGGTGATGGGGTGGAATGAGAGGTGGGGTTTTGGTTACCGTTGGTCCGTACCATTGGTCTTACCACAGAGGAGGGGGGAGAGGAGGAGAGGTCAGCTGGCTTTAAAGAAAGACAGACAGATGAAAGCTATAGCAACGCCAACCACCCACTGTACACCTGTGTGTGTGTGTGTGTGTGTGGGAATATGTGTGGGAAAGTTGTCCGTCAGTGTGTTTTGAGGTACATCTGTTGGGTTTTTTTGCAGGGGAGACGCCTCATAGCACATCTGTCTTTCTGCCAGCTGAGGGGCTACAGCACATGGTCCGTGTGAGGAGGAGCCATACGCTGTTCTGCAGCCGCAGACTGGAGGATGGGTTGGTGACACACGCAGACACATGCACAGATTTGACATCTCTCACGACCGAAGTCAAGAATCTCTCATAAGGTCCATCACGATGTGTGTGTGTGTGTGTGTGTGTGTGTGTGTGATGCAGTGGGTAACTGTATGTGTGACTGTATGTAGGTGTGTGTTGAATTCCTACATGCAGAGAGACTGATTTCTAAATCCTCTGCAGTGCCACGATTGGCTGCAATGACTGTCTATTATATTTTCATGATTTTATTGTCAATGGCAATTCGATTATTTAATCGATGTTGTTGCGGTAGAACTGCAGAGGATCTGGCAACCCCAACCATGCATGTAGCACACACATTACAGAATTGGGTCAACGGTAACTTGTTTCAAATGTGCATCTGTGAGACAGTTATCATGATCAAATCTCCACACAAAGCCACTTTCAGAGGATTGTTCCATATCACAGATATTATCTCACATTGCACAAGTATAAAGATTTGGCACACACTGGTAAACGCTGCCCCCTGGAGGTTACAATCATGCCCATCGGCTGGCTAACGCTCAATGATAACTTCAGGTCTTGGGTGAATATCACGAAAATAAATGTCTTGTTTATATTTTCAAACAAAAGAATTAATCAATCAATCAATCAATCAACTGAATCAAAATACCCAATTTTAGATCTATTTATTTTAAATAAATTTAGTATTTAACATAAACATATAAACCATGGTGGTATTTGCCTTATGCATGTTGTATTAAAATGTATGCACATTTAAACCCACTTTCCCCAAAGATACTAATAATAATGGTAAACTTTAGCATTACTTAAACATAAACTTAAACATTCTAAATAAATAAATAAATAAATATTTAATTTTAAACATAATTTTGAGGTAGTATTTGTTGCATTTTATTTATGCTTAAATGAAAACAAATAAATTGAATAAATCTTCATCATTTTCTCTATAATATTATATATATATATATATATATATATATATATATATAAATATATATATGGTAACACTTTACAATAAGGTTCATTATTTAACATTAGTAAACTACATCAGTTAACATGTACAATATGTGAACAATACTTCTTCAGCATTTATTAATCTTAGTTAATATTAATTCCAACATTTACTAATACGTTATTAAAATCAAAGGTTGTATTAGTTAACATTGGTTAATGGACTGTGAACTAACATGAACGCACAATGAACAGCTGTTTTTGTATTAACTAACATTAACAAAGATTAATAAACACTGTAACTAATGCATTGCTCATCGTTAGTTCATGTTAGTTAATGCATTTACTAATGTTAACTAATGAACCTTATTGTAAAGTGTTACCATATATATAAACATTACTATATCTTTCTTTTTGAGGACATCAGGACATTTCATGAGATTCCCCCAGGTATAGGAGTTTTCTGAAATGCGTTTTAGTCAATTAATGTCAGTGATTGTGGTTGTAACAGTCAGCCAACACAGGGAGCAGGCCTACACAGAATGCTATGTGGGTGTACAAGAGTACCAAAGAAGAAAGAGAGAAGAGACAGAAGAAAAAAAACACTGAAAAAGGGGAGGAAAATGCAGAACAGAGAGACAGAAAAGAAGAGGCATTCATAGAGAAGGATGCAATGTGGCATCGTCAGCAAGACAGAGCTGGCAAACACTCCCATCTCTCCACCCCCCGCTTCTGTCCAATCAGACACCGCGAATCAGACAGCGCCTCCAACAGGCAGGGAGGACAAAGCACTGAGAGGAGCAGAGCGGCCTCAGGGGGAGGAGGGGTTACATTAACGCTTTTCTACGGGAGAACAGAGTCGTCCGGTTTCACTCTAATCTCCTTGTAGCACTGAGAGGAGGGACTGGCTATCAGCACGGATTCATCAGTTTCATTTCAGATCACTAATCAGATTAATTAACGGGTTAATGAAGCATGAGAAAAAAGTGCTCAGAGTTTTCTCAAAGGAAAATAAGGGGGGAAAAAAAAACAATCCAAACACAATGCAGGGGACAAAGGTCATGCCTTTTTATCAAATCAGATGCTCGATGAAGAGAAAACTCCAACCAAATCAAACCCAGTCAGTGCTGAAATGGATGTGTATAGCAAAATAGGGGGTATATCTCCGGCACAACTGCTGTCAATCATAAACTACCTTCAAATATTCCTTTTGATCAAAGAGCTCAAATTTGGATCTTTTAATTTTTAACACATGGATCTTGTAGTCAATGTGGATCTACCTTCAAGCATATTCATATAGCTTGATGTTCTCAGAGGATATGTTTTCATAACTTTTTAGAATAAATAGTAACAGATAAAATCACTACCACTCAAAAGTTTGGGATCAGTTTTTTTAAATACTTTAACTTTTAACCAATTTGATGCATCCTTCTTGAATTGTTAAAGTTAAGACATTTATAAAGTTACAAATAAATGCTGTTCTTTTCATGAAAAGCATCACAGTTTCCACAGAAATACTAAGCAGCACAACTGTTTCCAACATAGATATTAATAAGAAATGTATCAAACCAAACCTTTGAAAGGTAGTGTACCTGTAAATAAAAACAGTGCTGTCTGAGTTTTAACTATAGATTTATTTAAAAACAAATTATGAATTTGACATTTTACAAGTGATGATTTCAGGTGAAACCCAGCCAATCTACCAGATACCACATTTAAATGTGGCCCAAATTCGAGGAGAAAAACGTTGACCTCATTTGACGCATACAAGTCTGTACCAGATCTAAATTGGTTGACAATATAAATTAAGTATTAATACCAATATGGAGGGGGGAAACTGAGTAGAATCTGCGCTCTTCTGTCCAAATGAGATTGAAGGTTTATGAATTGATACAACAGTAAAACATTTATCAGAATTTATTGAATTATGGGCAACATTGATAAGACGGACCATCCATCTTAATGTAACTGATTGGCAAAACGATTTGATTGAACATTGATTGTGAAGCCAGAATATATCACCCTGAGAGCTATACAAGGTCATTCATGCCTATGTGTGCGGGTGGAGGGTTAAAGCAACTCCATCTTTGTTAGTGTGGGAGGGTTATGGGGGTGCAGGCAGGCAGATTTAGAGAGAGAGATTACTTACGTTAACCTCTGTGATGGCTATATCAACAACACTACCCACTACAATAAGGGCATCAAACGTGTTCCATGCATCAACAAAATAATGCTGGACGGAAAAAATGAAAAAGAAAAGGAGAGAGGAGAAAATAAGGAAGAAAACAGTTACACATGAACATTTAACTCACAGAAGACATGAGGAAAAAAAATCATAAAATCAAATGACGGGTGTGAAGAAATCAAAACAAAATCAGAGAATCCCATGATGACACGGGACCTGTCATGCTCCACAACAGCAGTCAAACATCCATCAAAACCACCCTGGAAAGAATGGCCGGGACTCCTGGGTTAGTTCAGGTGTGACTGTTAGTTACAGCAAAAAAATATACATCACGGCCTGGAAGATGAATACAAACGTTCGCTCTCTCTCTCTCTTTCACTGGCCTACTGAAAAACGCTCCTGTTCGAACCATTCGTTTTCTTGCGCGCTGTGTGCCCTAAATAAACCTCTCACCACCAGAGGGCGACCTGCCACAGAAGCCATCTTGCCATAGGAACAGGAAATGAAGAGTTGGAGGAGATAGCAGGAGCAGAGAATGGCAGGAAGCACAGGGGAATGAAAGACAGCAGAGATGGACAGGAGAGCAAAAGAGAGAAAAGGAGGTGGCAAAAGAGAGAGAGAGAGAGAGAAAGATAGAGAGGTGGCGATGTACTTACGTTGATCTCACTCAGAATGACGTCTATAATGCTGCCAATTACGATGAGGAAGTCAAAAACATTCCAGGGGTCACTAAAGTAACCCTACACAGGACGAGGGGAAGGTGGGGTGAGGGGTGAGAGAGGGCAGTTAGAGAGGCAGACTTGACCATAACTAGCGCTGCCCGTACCCATGATGCATGAGCACAGTCAACATCCCAAATTCTCGTTAGCCAATCACAATTCAGCACAACAAAATCAGCTCATCCAGACTTTCAGGAAATTACTGATTACATATATCCATTTCCACAGGAAAATGCTCTTAGAATTGTGTTGATGCTCTGGGAAAAGAAGGCTTTGATTGCGCTAGGCTAGAGGAATTCTGAGAGCACGTCTGCTGCTTCCTGTGAGTAATTCTGAGCGGATGGCATCTCTACTGACACCATCTTTACAATATTTGATTTGTACTTAATAGGGCAGGAAACCTTTAACGGACTGGAAATGGCTGCCAAGTTATGCAAGAAATAAAGCTCTTTAAACACTAACTCATAGAATTACTGGCTGTCTATGTCTTAAGGCAGGCGATGTAACTCATTTCTGAAGAAAAGCATGAGAGAGACTATCATTTTACATTACATTTATCTCAGTCATCATCTGGGGCAAAGCTAGTGATTGTAGTTAAAGCCATATAGGGTAAATATAAGTGAAATGTGACATTTCTGGTGATAAGCAGAGTTATCCACTATAAACTGCATTTTTGAGAAAACAAAACAAAACAAAACCAAAACAAATAAAAACATAAGCAAATGAACAGAAAACATCTAGCCTGGAGGACAGCTGCAAAAATTGGTTATTAAATGGCACACAGCTAAAGAACACAACAGCACTGATAATAAAATATTAAACAATGCATGCTGGAATAGCTCATAGTCTAATCATCTCAAATCTGATATTTAAAAAAAAATATATAATTAAATTTTAAAGACTTGAATTTGAGTATTTGGACACAAGAGCCTAATAATAAATCTAAATTCACTGCTTATTTTTTTTTTTTTTTAATAATATATAATACATAAAAACAAGCAGGGTGTGTGTAAGGACGTACCCTTGGTTTGAAGGCGATGAGTTTGAGGATCATTTCCACAGTGAAGAGGCCGGTGAACAACATATTGAGGATATTCATGGCTTTGTTGAAGGACTGAGATTGACCATGATGCTACAAACAACAAAATTAATTTAAAAAAAAAAAAAAAAAAAAATTAAGATTTGTGAATTTGTCTGTATGCATTAGTTAGGTTCCTGAGTGTACTGACCTGCATGGCCAGGCAGATGGTATTGAGAAGAATGAGGGTGAACATCAGGTACTCAAAGTAGGTGGAGTTCACCACGTACCAAACCTTGTACTGATACGGGTTCTTGGGGATGTACCTGCGTAGGGGGCGAGCCTTCAGGGCATATTCCACACACTGACGCTGTACACACACACACACAGAAACATATGGACATATATAATCAGAGTTACACTTTAAAACACTCTCTCTATTCCTGAAGAAATCCTATTCATTTCAACCATTATCAAAATCATTCACTCGATTTATTGTCGTCAGTCTACCTGGTTCTTGTCCAGCTCACAGTTTTTGTACTCTTGCTCTCCCTGCTCCTGAAATGTCACAATCACGAAACCTACAAATATGTTCATCATGAAGAAGGCGATGATGATGATGTAGATGATGAAGAATATAGAGATGACCACCCGGTAGTTGTAGATCGGCCCAACATCCTCTGTATGGGAGTCGATGGCTCTGTAGAGGAGCCTGTGGGAGGACAGAGAAGTTCCTGTCAGTGTTTTGAATAATAATAAAAAAAATATTACAGACTGTTCACTTGAATAAATATATTAAAATAGAAACACTTATTTAAAATTAAATTTTTGATATATAGTGTATGTGAAGTGAGCATATGAGTAAGTGTCCGTGAGTTTGTGTATCGTACGCTGGCCAACCCTCAAAAGTAGACACGGCAAACAGAGCCATCATGCCCTGCAGAACATCATCAAAGTTGAAATCACTATTCTCCCATGAACGCAGAGCTTTCTCTGGCTTCCCAACATTCCCATCCTTGTACAATATGTATGACCCCCTGTAACACAAACACACACACACAGTGTACACATACATATGAATTGGCTTTGAGCAGTTTTTTTAATTGTAAATGTACATATTTGCATGCAATGACACAGGGACGTTACCTGCATTCAGCCTGTGTCTGTTTAGAGGTGTCTGTGCAGTAGAAGAATTTGCCCTAGAAAACAAACATTAGTTCACATTCACAACTTCACACACATTGACTAATGTGCCAACAGCACATACAACACAACAGCTGGGTTCCATAATAAATAAATAAAAAATCACGTTTGTGTTTGTTCTCTATAGAGAAAAAGGTTTTCAATGTATAATAAACCTGTTCGCTCTGTTACAAAGAGACAGCAGAACTTACCTTGAAGAGTTGAACACCAATACAGGCAAACATGAACTGCAGCAAAGAGGTGACGATGACGATATTCCCAATGGTGCGGATGGCTACAAACACACACTGGACCACATGCTGTGGATGCAAATAAAGCTCTCAATTAAAATAAATATTCCTCACATCTATCACAATATATGAAAAGCATTGGTCAGGGTCATCTGAACAGTTTTTTGTGCACATTTTCTGTGAATAAAAAAAGAGAGAGACTCACTTTGAGGCCTTTGGCTCTGTTGATTGCTCTCAGGGGCCTCAATACCCTCAGCACTCTGAGAATCTTCACTACATTAATGGCACTTGACCTGTGAATCACAGCACACAGTTTAGCACCACCAATCAGACTGGCTAATTACTGATCATGTGACCTACACACAACACCATACAGAGATGCAGATTCCCACGGACAGCAGGGGAGGTGAGAAATGCAACTCCATGTCAATCTTAATTACACTGGATATGGCCATTTATATGTATAGATTAAACATTTAAAAACAGTTAAAAGTTTTGTTTTATAATAATATTAAAATATGCAAAAATATATAAAAAAAAAAAAGAAAGTGAGCAACAGGGTTTCATAAAGGATTTATATCTAAATGTCGTTGCTGACCTCCTACCATAGGATGCTAATTAATTTAGTGCTAGAAATTTGGAACAGACAGCATCTTTATTGGCCCAGTGTTATTTATTTTAACATTACTTGTAATAAACTATTATAATATTTATTTATATTTTTGATTAGCTTTCATGTTTATTTTTTCAGTTTAATTTGAGTTTAAATTATCTTTATTTCAGTTTTTTTATTTTAGTACTTAAACTTTTATAATTTTATCAGTTGCCAAGGCATCATTTCAATTTCCATTATAATTTTTGACCACAAAGTGACACTGTATCAACTGACATTTTTTGAATAGCCTTGAATAGCCAATTACTAAGATTCGTAAGGATACGCCAATGGGGTCATACAAATTCGAAAAGGCCAACACCTAAAACAGCCGATTTGAGAAAAGTTTAGGATTTTTTTGACTAAACTGTTCAGAAGTTATAAGCGAAAATAGCAATTTTTGTCAATCTTCTGACCACTAGCTGGTACCATTTAGGTTGGTACCACCACCTGTGCAGGTAGCGTCAGATCACCTAAACCGGCTTCATGGTATAGGCCCCTGGTCAATTATTATTTTATAATTATTATGTCCATGTTTCTGTTTTGAGTTCCATGCCAAGCCATTCCTTTGTTTTACGTTTGATCTTGTTTTGAGAATTAATAAATTACACTTGGGTTCTACAACTTGCCTCTAGTGGATCACCTGTTACAGGCTGGACATGAACTGAATAGCATTTGATTGGACATAGATATTAAAAAGGGTTGGTTATTTGTGACATGAGAAGCAGTAGTACTGGTTATTTTGTCAGTTAATTTGGAAAAAAGTACTTACTGAATTCCAGAGGAGATCAGAGACACACTGACCACCACCAGATCCAAAATATTAAAATAATTTCGACAAAATGAACCCTTATGTAGGAACGCTCCATATGCTGTCATCTGAGAGGAAGAGCAGACAAATGGAGAGACAGCGAGGAATTAGATGAGTATGAAATAAACTCATGAGAAGGTTACAGTAGGAAAGATATTATTAGCATGAAATGAACAAGGACACATTTACCTTTACATGTAAATTTACCTTTAATATGATCTCTATGGTGAAGATTCCTGTAAACACATAATCTGCATAGCCTAGAATCTAGCAGAGAAAAAGTGAGACACACACATACAGTATCAAAGCCTCGTAACAGCAGCACTACGGATATGATGTATATGTCAGTGTGTGTTTGCGTGTACCTGATTCCTGAATGAGTCATTCTTCACTGGGTCCTCCGCTGCCAGTGAAATGCTGCTCAGCAGTATAAAGAACAGGATTAAATTGGTGAAGACGTTGTGGTTTACAATCTTATGACACAAAACCCTGAACCTACAGAAGAGAGAGAGAGGTAAAAATTGGGTTTGAGAGACATTTTCGAGTGTGGACTGTAGAATACATACCGAGTGACATATCCCACTGAAAATCAAGGTCTATAGGTGCGTGTATGTGCATTTCATACTTGTTACTGGGGCTGAAAATAAAGAAAGCTCTGGCTTCTGGCATAGGGATGGCCTTCTCCTTCAGCTGAATGTCGGAGAGTGGACGTGGACGAGGACCTACTGGCATCTCTGGCTCTTCCTCGTCCTCCGCTCCTGCTAGAAAGAACAGACAAAAGAGAAAAAAACAATCCACTAACTGCATCATTCCTCAACAGTCCAACAGAAGAAGTTTTTGTATCACTCTAATGACCCACAAAATATAGTGAAGGTGACATGGGCTGGGAAATCAACAGTGGAGAAGATCTTTTCTCAACTGAAAAACAATTCACATCGAGTCCTCCCAGAGCTGAATAAAACAGGGCTGGGCTCTTGAGGAATTACTTCTGTCAGTTTCCTTGTTTTTTTGTTTTTTTTATAAATGTATTTTTAACACACCTGGGAAATCGTTCACAGGATATGGATTCTTCTCTTCGTTCTCCTCCCCTGTGTACTCATCTATGTTGATCTAAAATCAGAGAAGGAAACCATTTTAAATCATTCATTATACAATTAATACTATTATTTTAAATGATTATTATTAGTAATAATCTTAGATTTTTATTATTAATTAATATTATAAATACTTTTTACCCAAAAATTACTGGAATTTAAAAGGAATTTAATAAAATAAACCTATTAATTAGAATAATTAATTATTACAACATAATAATTAATTATTGTACAACAACTACAAAGTCCCAGTGCATCTGTAAATGGCTGTGCATTCATGTATGTGTGTATGGTTTGTATGTCATTTTTTACACAATAAACAAAGATCACTCTAGGCTGTGCGCAGAATAAAGATTTGCTTTTGGAGATAATATTATAATTATAATTAAAATTATTATTATTTCTTCGCCCAAATTACTGTAAAATGTGAATTAATCCCAAAAAACCTAATTAGACAATCATTTTGAAGAATTATCTTTAATAATAGATTCATTTATACAAAAGGTCCCTGTGCATCTAAATGTAAAAGCCTGCATATTTGTGTGTGTGGTGCATTGTCGTCTTCTTTAGATATTAGAACGCATTGAGATTTTTTATCTTTCTCCTTTATCGTCTTAATATTCAGAAACAAATATAAATGCAGTGTGTGGTGCTTTCAGAATGTACTACTGGGACTATCAATTAATTATTTTGAACACAAGTGATTTTAACATGTTTTTGATTTCACTCTAGGGTGGGTGTGCACTATATGCCTATTATTGCTTTATTTTGTGTTCTCTGCCTCCTGCTAGAGACCTTGGTGGCAGTTGGTGTCTCTCCATCAGAAGTGATGGATTTTAGTTCAATCTTTTCCTCTTTCTTTTTATCCTCCAGAGGTGGTTTCTCAGAGTTCTGGCGCTTCTCGGGACTAGCCGTTCTGTAAGACAGAAATCACGTCATAAATGTGTGTGTGCAGTGTGTGCAGCTCTACCGTCCCACTAAGCACCTGTATTTACAGCTCTTTAGAGGGGCAAAAACACTTCTGTAAAATGATACTTCACTTCCTAATGAAGTCATAACCGATACAGCCTTAATGAGCTCATTAAGCGAGAGACAGGAAATCCTCATAGGAAGGTTTAATAGGCCCTCAGACCATCTAAAAGCACTGCACTTTTATGAACTGAGTCACTGAACCTGGCCAGTTTCTTCCTCTCTTTCTCCTCCTCTTCCTCTTTCTGTGCTGATGTCAGACTCTCTGCGTCTGCTAGGTTGTCCACGGCAATGGCCAAGAAGACATTCAGGAGGATGTCTGTTTAGAGTTCAGGAACATCCAGGAACAGAACTATCAGTTTTATAAAGTTTAGAAACAGGTGGGGTTTTTTTAAGGATACAGTTTCCACAGATGAAGAGGATGATGAAATAAATGCAGACGAGCATGCCAGGAAAGGAGGGCCCTCCATACGCCATGATGCCATCATACATCACAGAGTTCCAGTCCTCACCGGTTAAAATCTACAATCACAAAATAAATTCATGTCACACATGGGTCATGTTTAATGACACATGGAGAGCGTGTGTGCTGAGATTCAGACTGAACCTGAAAGACGGTGAGGAGAGACTGGGGGAAATTATCGAAGGTGCTGCGGCGCGTCTCATCGAAGTTGAACTTGCCACCAAAGAGCTGCATTCCAAGCAGACTGAAGATGATGATGAACAGGAAGAGCAGCAGAAGCAGGGACGCGATCGAACGCACCGAATTCAGTAGAGACGCAACCAGATTACTGAGAGAGTTCCAGTACCTGAGAATGGACAGTCAGAATTAATACAAAGTCACACACCACAACTAGCTAAACACACACACACACACACACATGTCCCGAACACATACCTGGTGATCTTGAAGATGCGGAGCAGACGTACGCAGCGCAGCACAGAGATGCCGAGGGGTGACATGATCTTTGTCTCCACCAGGATGGTCTCCAGAATCCCACCGCACACCACAAAACTGTCGAAGCGGTTAAAAAGGGAGACGAAATAGGCCTGAAGGCCCAGGCTGTACATCTTCAGCAGCATCTCACCGGTAAAAAGAGCAAGCAACACCTTATTGGCGATATCTGTAGGCACATAAACAACACATCCATTCACTTTAAGATTTATACAAATTCAACTTTCAGCAAAGAGTCAGTAAGATTTTTTTTGAATGAAATGAATAGTTACTTACAAGGAGACATTAACGTGATCAGAAATGACATTAAAGATATTATTAATATTACAACGGATTTATCTTTGGAACTTTCTATATAGGTATTTATTAACGGGTTTCAACGTTGATAATAATATTAAATGTTTTTTGAGCAGCAAATCAGCATACTGATCTGACACTTAAGACTGGTGTAATGATGCAGAAAATTAATAAATTAACAATTTATTTTAACTTGTAATCATATTTATCAAATAAATGGAGCCATAGTAAGCATAAGAGACTTCTTTCAAAAACATTTGTAGTGTAGTGAACAGTAGTGTACATTGAATGGATCCGAAAAAACAAATATAGTGTGACATTACACACAGAATCAACATTGTGTTATTTATTTAATTTTTTTAAACATCTACAGTAATGTAGTGGCCTTGGTCGGCCAAATATTTTGTCTATAGACATTTCAAAACATCTTTCAATATAGATGGACCAAACCAAGGTTCTGTGATCAATCACATAACAACATTTGACAGGGTTTAATGAGACTGGATGGTCCAAGAGACTATAGAGTAGGGATGGGCAACTTCGGACCTGGAGAACCACTTTCAGAGTTCAGCTCCAACCCAAATTAAACACATCTGAACAAGCTAATCAATGTCAATAATGCTAGGTTAGAAACTCTGCAGGACAGTGGCTCTTTAGCCCTCTGAAGTTGCCCATTCCTGCTATAGAGAGATACGAGACATGGAACACATAAAAGTAGCATTGCCAAAGGGAATTAAGCTAATTACAGTATAGTTTATCAAAGATTTATCAAAGATACATTTTTACAAATATTTGACTGCTCAAAGTTGCATTGTTTTATATTTCAAAAGTTACAGTATTTTGAAATATGTGCAGTATTGTAACATTGAGTACCTTGAACATTGGTGAGCCAGTCTAGCTGCTGATGGTGCTCTGAGGCAATGGTAAGTGTGTTCAAAAATACCAGGAAAATCACCAGCCAGTAGAACACATTTGACTTCACTGCTGCGCGGCACTTGCGCCGGCATAACCGATTCCACCGGCGTGAATATCGACTGCAAAATCAAACACAGAGAGATAGAGAGACAAAGAGAAGAATGTAATATAAAAAGTTCAGAATTCAAAGCATTTGCAACCTGATTCTTCAACCCGCAATTCTTACCAGCTGGGATAAAATATCCTTTCAGTATTCACTAAATGCACTTTCTATAAACATAACTATGTGTTTTTCAACTGGCAGTGATTGGAAATTCTGCTGCTCTGAATTATTTTGGCATCTATAGCAAACAAGTCTGAATAATTCTGAACTTATGGATGTGCAGCCACTGATTAGAGGGCAACCGTGATGATCAAAACAACACAGGCATCAAAAACACACACACACACACATATATATGAGAGGCAGCCTCGCCTTCAGACGGTGTGTAATGTACTAACCTGAATTTGGATTTGGAGATCCTATTTCTGGAATGGAAAACAGAATGTATTATACATTCAGAACAGACACGACATCATGAAGGACAGTGTTTCCACAGAGACAGTAGAACTGGGGGGCAGTCAGGTGGGCTTGCTCATACATCATCACTCTTACAGCGCCCCCGTGTGGTACAAAAGATGATGAGCAGGAGCAACTGAATGACACCCATAGGCGATAGATAGATAGATAGATAGATAGATAGATAGATAGATAGATAGATAGATAGATAGATAGATAGATAGATAGATAGATAGATAGATAGATAGATAGATAGATAGATAGATAGATAGATAGATAGATAGATAGATAGATAGATAGATAGATAGATAGATAGATAGATAGATAGATAGATAGATAGATAGATAGATAGATAGATAGATAACAGGTCTGTTTCGGTTCAGTGTGATGCATTGGCTTGAAAAATGTTGTTTACAGCAAATACTTCTAGTTTACAGGAATACATTTTTTGTTCCGTTTAACTTTATATTCACTTTAGTGAGTAATTGAACATTTCTTCTGATTTAACTGTTTCATAGATTCACTCTGTGAACAATTTTGAATATCTGAGGGAATGTTTATGTATAATGACTATTATGGCTATTGTGTTCCTATCTGTGTTTGTAACATAAAACACTGATCACTGACAGGGCAGATCAGCTGGAAAACAGACAACAACAACAGATGCACAGAGAGAAAACGACACTGAAGATCACGGGAGCGCCAGAAGCAGCCCACTGGGCCATGCTGACCTCGCCTGCCAGTTGCCTGCCAAAAACCTGGGACTCCGTTTAAAACTAGCTCAACCTTACAACTGAGATTTCTGTAAATGTCTGAATAGTGAAATGAGTATGTCTGAAGAGGATTAAACATTAGGCAAATTGAATATAGGAATTAGAGAAAAGCAGAGGAGATGATCAGGAAGGAGAACAGAAGCAAGAGGAGAGAAGAGGATGAACGGAATGCTGTGGAGACTTACGCCATACGGGTACAGCAGGTCTCTCCTTCCATGTCTCCAGCTGGAGCATTATCAGTGTTCACTGACTCATTTTCACTGGCCGGCATACTCACTAAGAGAGAGAGAGAGAGAGAGAGAGAGAGAGAGAGGGAGAGAGAGATGAATTACAGTAAAGACGATACTCATTGCTCATCAAAGGCTGGTTTCACACACGCACTGACAAACAAGAAACTGACTTCCAACCTGTAAAGAACACTTTGACAGCAGAGATTAGATCAGAGTCCAAAATTAAAACTTAGTAACTGTCAAATGCGAGCAATCACAATATATTTTCTTCACTATTTTTGTGATAAGTGCAGTTCCACTGAGAAACAGAGACTAGCTAATTTTGTATATGATGCATATGATGCTGCAAGCATCATAAAGCTGGTTGTCAGCAATATGCAATAATAATAAAAAAAATAATCCTAATAATTCCACAGAAAAAAAAAAAACTAAATCATAACATACAGACATAGTTGTTACTGTGCCAGTTATTTATACACAGACAGTCCTGATAACATCCAAGCCAACTTTTCATCCATATCCATGCTCAGATGTGACCTTCAACGTTTATGATGAACCATGATTAAGATGATAAAGAATAAAATGCCACACTTCATCAACAGACACATACTTACAACATACTATACTCTTAGTATAGTTTTATGGGTGTTGAACCTATGAATCAATCTTGATTAAACTAGGCCTTAAACAAACAAAAAAAAGGTGGAAAACAAAACAAAAAACAATTTGACAAACTTACCCAAATATGTCATGTAAAAGATTCTGTTGCCAGCCAAAACAGTTCTAATCTACCAATCAGCATGCAGGCCTACAATTCCATCTCATTAACATGCACAGGGGGCGGGGTCAAGCAGGATCGCTATATTCCATGCTGCATTCTCATTGGCTCTGACCTTTTTTCCCTAATTCTATTTCTCAGATAAACAAAAACAAAACATTATCAACCAGAATACACCACCCTTGGAAATGGGATTATGGGATTATGTTTGATCGAATATTCCGAGAGAAGATTACAGATGTCGAACAGTGCCATTTCATCATTAGTACACTGATGATGTATTTTGAAAATTAATGTATTTTAGATGGAAATGATTGTTACCCTTGTCATTTTTTCATCTTTTTTATTAAATATATAGAAATAACATAAACACTATTGCAAATCTAGCATAGACGGATGGTGAGAGGCAACATGAGTCCAAAAAAAAAAAAAAAATCCACAATACTTTGCATCCTATCTCTCTATGACCATCTCACAATGGCTGTCAAAGAGAAACCACAATCTCAGATTCAGAACCATCTGGACCGTGGTGTGCACAGCAGAACTGTTTCTGTCTAGGCATCACATGCAGATCAGAACAGGAGCCTAATGTGTGACTGAAATGTACTACAAAGCATCTGATTCTGATTAAAATACCTGGAGAGAAAAGAAATAAATAAAAAATACCATGCTAAAAGTCCAGATATTTCAAACAGAAAAAAAAACAAACCTTCTACCACCCCCAAAAGAGCAGTGGGCCAAAATTTCAAAACTCTCAGATCTTCATGCCCATCATCCTCATTCAGAAATCTAACAGAACAGAGCAGGGAATCCCCATCACCCTCCGTACCCAGATTGGAGGGTGAGGATGGGTTAGGGGTCAGTATAAAGGTCTGGGAGGCTTGTTGCACTTTTGCCATGCAGACGCAAAAGTAAACCGTGGTTGCTATTGAGACGCACACGCCTTACGAAGCAGAGCCGCTTTTTTCTTCACCGCTCCACGGATGTACTGTAAACGATGAGTCTTCCCTGAAAACAACAGAGCAAGACTCAAACAGTCAAAGACAGACACTTTCACAGACACTGAAAGAGAGAGAGACGCCACCAGTCCTCTCCATCCTGAACATTGATCATTGAGCACGCAAGTCACACCCAACACTTAACATAAAACATCACTGTTCATACAAAACACACAAATAATTGTTACATTAATGAGGTGCAGTTCTATTTTGTGGCACTAGATGTGCGTCAGCATGTGCATTAGGGTATATCTGAATATATTGTACGTGTGTGAAAGTCCTTTCCCATCTGATCTCAGTTCACGATCTCAGGCTATGAAAAAAGTCCAAATACCACACACACACACACAGTATATCCCAGCAAGAACTTATCGTTTGCATCTATTATTCTTAACATAGATGAATTATAATTACTCTAAACAAACACTAAGTATAAAACTGGACTTTTTTTAGACATCTCGCTCGATCTAGATCACTATCTAGATCCTCTCTGAAATGTGTATTCTTATTGAAATATCCTCACAAGGAGGTTTGGTCCGCTTCTGTTTGCCGTTTTATTTTATCCCTAATAAGGACTGCAAAGCCAGTCCACATTTAAGCACAAACGTCCATAACATCCCTTTGAGTTTCGGTTTGTGGTGAGTTTCTGATGGAGAACTCTCATCTACAGTAATATGAGCTAAGGATTATATATCTGGATGAACGTATTCCAAAGGTTTTGTCCACTAGAACTTGGCAACCAATGTGCACAGGTAATTTTTTAAGGTGAGCTTCTGTTTATTTTCAAATGGAAAACAGAGACAGAAAACTAGCCAATAGGCAAATTTGTTTCTTCAGAGACTATTACCCAAAATCCACACCGTGTTTCTAAAATGTCAGGATTGTTTGCATATGTAGAGAGTGAGAATGTACATCAGCCTTGCTGTGTAATGTCAGGCCTTGAGCATACATGAAGAGCCAGAGATAAAAGAAAAAAAAAAAAGATTTTGTGTGGATATATAGATTTGGAAGTATTTTCAGATTAAGTATAGATTAAAGCAATCATTGGAACACTTAAAACATTTCAATGTCCTCATTTGTTTTGAAAATGTTGAAATTCTCACAAACAACTCGGATTTTAACAAACTAAGAGCAGATCAATTCCCTACCCTGGTGCTACACTGCTTCGTACTTACGATTTCTAGGTTTGTCGTCATCCAGTCCCTCGTCGTCATTCTCAGGGTCGATATCTTCCGCCTGCGTGATCCAGTCCAGGTAGCCCTTCAGATCCTCCTCCAGCTGCTGCTTCTCACGGAGCTTCTGGAAATCGCCGCGAGCTTTGGCCTTTTCTCGCTCTTTAGAGAACTCTCTGAAAAGAGGAGAGACTTCTGCTAAATATCCATCCTTTATTAAGAATAATTCTTTAAAGTCCAATTAAATATTATAAAAGTGATTAAAGTCAGCATAAATTGGTTTTCACTAGTTCACTATATGCACTAGTGTTTGTCAACAAGGCTGCATTTATTTGATCAAAAATACAGTAAAAACATGAATAATGTAAAATATTAATACAATTTAAAATAACTGTTTTCTATACTAATATATTTTGACTCTCCAGTAAAATTACTCCAGTCTTCAGATTCACATGATCCTTCAGGATGTAATGTTGATTTAGTGCTCAAGAACATTTCGTATGTTGAAAAAAGTTGTGCAACTTAAACATTGTGTCGCACAAAAGAACAAGTAAAAGCATTTACTTGAAATAGAAACCTTCACAACATTATAAATGCCTTTTGTGTCACCTTTGACAAATGTAATGCATCCTTGATGAACAAAGGTATCAATTTCTTTGAAAACAAATCTTACGGATCCCAAACTTTTGTACAGTAGCACTTTCATGAAATAAAACAAGATATTTTAGCAATCAAGGGCTGATTTCATGTTGACTTTTGGGCACATTTTGAATAACTGTGATTAAATTCATAGCAGAGTTAGCTATAAAATGCACACATGTAATTAGATATTAAAGTGTACATTTTTTATAGAAAGAGGAAAAGGAAACAAAAAACACCTCTTATCCTTTATTGTTTACTATTGTGTTAAACAGAAAATACACAGAGCTCTCTCACACACACTCTCTCCGACAAAAGATACAAATTCAGTTAGAAAGAGAGAATAAAATATGGAGAGAGAATGAATGAGCGTCCCTTACCCGCTTAAAACCCCAAGAACCAAATTAAGAACAAAAAAGGAGCCAATGATGATTAAAGTGACAAAATAAAGCCACGGCCAGGAATTCCCTACAGCATCATTGACCTGGGAATGGAGGGAAGGGTTGAAATATGGGGAGAGAAAGGGATGGATGGAGGGGTACAGAGGGATGAATGATCGATTAGTATGTGTCTGCTGGACATGGACAGTGCTACACAACCCCTCTGTGGCTCGCTCAATCTCAGTGCTTTAAGAAAAAAAAAATGTTGGATGGTTCAGTGAGAGCTTGTTGTATTGTCCACAGAAAACACACACACACTCAGCACACAATGCTTACCCGCTCAACACACCCAGAACCAGATTTAGAACGAAAAAGGATCCAAAGATGACCAGACTGACAAAATAGACCCACGGTAGCTCATAACCCATGGCATCCTGCATCTGAGACGAGGAGGGGACAGTTAGAAAAAAGACAGAAAAGTGGAGAGAAGAGGAAGACAGTCAGCAGAAACGAGTGCAGTGAACAGCACATGCTTGTCCCTCTGAAACCCAGAATATCAAGCAAACCCATGAAGCATATAGAGCATCTTCAACAGAGAGAAAGACAGACAGAGAGAGTGAGAGAAACGTTCAGCCGAGTCTTTTTGACTGTGTTACAGGATGTTATCAGGAAAACCGTCAATCACTTTAAGTATCTGTGAGAGTGCAGAAGACTGAGATACAGTATAGATAGCCTGTAGAGATCAGCAGTGATGTAAATCACACACACAGGGTTCAACAGGGGTTTTTTCTGCAAGCGAGTTGGGCAAGTAGTCCTTAGTTTTACTTGTCTTGCAAACATTTTCAATGGCTCCACCATACAAGAATGTTAAATGTTTAGTTTTAGCAATGGTTTTATATATTTGCTAGAAATAGACTGATTATATACTAAAATTATAAGTTTACAAATAATGTACTAATTATTAGAGCACTAAAATGATTTTTTTTCTTTACAAAAAGCAAAGTGTAACACTGGAAATTATACAGCTATAATATAACTTCATAAATTCATTAAAAAAAACTCTTTTGCTGGAAATAATGTCATATGATGTTTCCAACACATTTTTTACTGATGTTTAGCAAGTTATTTCTGCAAATTTAAAACATTATCTTGATGAAAAATCGACAGAATAATTTTCAATTGTATGAAAGTATGAAAGTGGATGAACAAAATCAATAAATGTAAAATTTTCAGTGGCAAAGCAGTATTAGATTATCCTTGTTGTTGAGCCCTAACCTACACACCACCCACCTAGTCCAAAAAAAATTACAAATAAAAATAGAAAAGCAAACATATAAATATGTGCATTAATTAAATACAACAAACTATCAAGCCCCTAAAGTGACATGAAGGAAAAAAATATGAGATGGGAGGAAAAATTATTTATCAATGATTTTGTGTTCTCTCGCAAATGTATTGTGTTCTCCCAAGAAATGTTAAGTGAGTGAACTCAAAATTTCAAGTTGACAAATCATTTTTCCTCCTATCTCATATTTTTTTTCCTTCACATGTCCCTTTAGGGGCTCCGTAACAAACAAACAAACAAGCAAGCAAATAAACAAAATCACAAAATAATGCGTGTATAATATTAATTATAATTTGGTACTATGAATGCAGATCCTTTTAAAATATCTGAAATTCTTACAACATTTTTATCTATCAGAAACTCAGAATGTCCATCCATAATCAAATCACATAGTTAAATAGTTTAAATGTTATGCATTTTATCTTGCAGGCAATCATAAAAGTCCTGTTGACAATTGTATGCTCTAAAATACCTAGATTTTGTGTGAAATCCTATGAGAACATTCCCATTATGTTACATTAGGATTCCCTTTAGATATGGGTTCCTTTATGATTTTTTTAACCTCATTCATATGCTGCGCATGTCTCACTGTACTGGACCATTTTTGCTCATGTGTTCAATCATAAGGTGTGGTGTGCCGTTACTGGAGCAGACTCACCCAGTACAGGACGTCAGTCCAGCCCTCCATCGTGATGCATTGAAACACAGTCAGCATGGCAAATGCAAAGTTATCAAAGTTTGTGATTCCGTCATTTGGACCCTCCCATCCCATCATGCACTGTGTTAAGTTGGCGCAGTGTCGTCCATGGGCGGAGTTTGGGGCGCAGGGGGCTGGCTTCTCTTCAGATATGGGACCTGAACGAAAATAGGATTTTGTCAGTTTATCTGGGTGAAAACCAGGGAGGAACAATTGCTAAAGATAAAGTCCTGACCTTTGTGTCCATCTTTGAAGAAAAAACAGGTTCTGTGCATCTTGCCCATGAAGAGCTCGAGGCCGATGATGGCGTAAATGATGATGACGAAGAGAACGAGCAGAGCGATGTGCAGGAGGGGAACCATGGCTTTAATGATGGAGTTCAGCACCACCTGTAAACCTGCAACCACAAATGAAATTATAAAAAACTAAAAAACTGAATCATCAAACTAATAATTTCTTTGTTTTATGAATGAAGTGCAAAGTAACTGTTAATACTTTGAATATGATCAATGATAAAATGATCATGTACAGTGAGCTGATCATGAATCTCATTCAGTGAAGTGAAGCCAGAATAGGTTAAAATGGATGGTCAATTACAATGTACAGTTTAATGGTCATTATACTTATTATAGTTATAGTCAAAAAAATTTGACTGCCGAATAGAAGTATTCCAGAGAGACGCATAATAACGGGTAATGAACAGACACATTCTGGACAAATTTGCCAATCAAAAAGGAAATGGATTTTCCTACATAACAATAAAAAGCTGTGCTTGCACCTGCAGATAACAACAGCTTAATAGTTGTGACTTCTGAATTTCTGTGTTGTGATTACTGAATCTACATTTTGTAGAATGGTTTCAGATCCTCCCACAGAAAAGAAATTTAAATTCATGTTCTCTCTGTTTCTCAGCCCTGACTCATAAACGACTTACTCAGCAATCATCAGAAGAGAGTGTGTGTGTGGTGTGTGTGTGTCACTCACTAGGTACTCCAGACACGAGTCTCAGAGGTCTCAACACTCTAAAGGCTCGCAGGGCTTTAACATCAAACCCTGCAGCCTTGCCTCCCATTGAAGTCCCACCGTCTCCTTTAGTGGCCTGCTCTAATATTGCACTGAAGAGCCTGAAAGAGAGAATGAAAGAGGAAGTTACTGACTCATTATCATTTTACATTCCAGATTTCAAAGTATGGTAACTAATTTAAGTAATGTGTTGTTTAAGTCATTAAATGCTACCAATCTTGAAATAAAACAGCTTTTTATGACGTGAAAAATCCATTTGAATTGAAGATGTTTTTCTATTTTTAATGAGACGGAGAACTTAACTGTTGCATTCAGACAATTAATGTGAGTGACACTTTTTATTGGGAATACGCTCAAAAAACTTTTTTCAGCAGGTCCTGGAAATGAACTGTTCAAATACAAGTAATTCATTGTCATCTGTCATATTTCTATAATATAATATTTTCCAAATCTGTGTAAAGCTTTTATATTTGCCACTAAAGATGTGCAAACGCAATGATGCTATACACTGACGCGTTATAAAAAGCATTTTTTTTTTTTATTAAAATGATGTTTCCATGATAACTCAAATCATACACTCGCTCATCCATATGTGTCTCAAGGGTTACACAGGGTTCTTGTACTCACCCTACCACCACAATGATGAAATCCAACAGGTTCCAGCCATTCCGCAGGTACGCATTAGGATGACACAGCAGCCCGTATGCAATAACTTTCAGAAACGCCTCCACCGTAAAAATGATCAGAAAGAGATACTCCACCCGTTCCTAAACAGACAAAACAGAGTGAAAGAGGATATTAGTTCTGTAATTGCAACATCTCTAATATATCTTTAAACGTAAAGCCGCCCGAAGCTCTGAACCAACATCAGAAAATGTAGAGCCATTTGTCTGCATGACATTTTATTACAGATCAGGCCTATCAGAAGAGAACAGATATCACACACAAACACACAGAATGTCGCTGCACCAGAGACACCGTGTTCGAGTGGATTATAGAGCAGAAATGCTGCGTCTGTAAATGCCAGATGAATTTCAGTCTTTGCTGACTGTCTCCCAACTTTCCTGTGAGAATCAAAACACAGACATTCATCTCTGCGGATGTGTCTAGAGCTACAAGACTGTGGGAAAAAAGGGATTTCGGATGTGATTTGTTTCAGTGATGATTAATTGATAATATTGATTTCATATAAATATTTGCTGGAATGAAAATATATAAAATTGCAATCAATTATATAATTCGTTTTTTAATAATAATGAAAGAGACTTAAAAGAGACAAGGAGCTCAACTGTTATACGCTCAGAAATAACATTTAGACCATTAAACATTCAGTGGGAATCAAAAAAATAATAATCCTTAGATAAAGGTCAAAATAGTTTCTACACACAGAAGGGAGAACATTAACTTGGAAATTACCATAAATGTCATTGTAGCTGAGTTTTATTAAAAAAAAAAAAAAAAAAAAAAAATCTGCTGGCAATTTCCGTGGACTGAACATCACGATAAGCCTTAATTTTAAAGAACTAGTCAACTTAAAACTTCAACACATGTACTGTAGATGATTCACTGCAAAGCTGCACTCTGAATCAAAACCACTTAATTCAGATGAGAAAAACATGTTTCTTAGTAACAGAAACACTAGTATACAGAGCCAAATGTTGCTTACATTAAAAATGCATTAGTCATTTTTTAAACTTTTTTTAACACAAACTTCTTTGAGAAAAAATTAAACACAAGAGTAACACATTAAGTAAATGCAGCTAATTAATGAGTCCAATAAATAGGTGTGTTAATTGTATATATATAATGCTATTATATAATATATATAATGACCTTTATATAATTTTTGTGTTCAAAAGAAAAGAAAAAAACAGCAGCACGTGGATTTGCATTGCAATGATGAGTTAATGATGGATTTTCAACAGATATTGAACAGGAGCAGAATTTAGTTTGTGTTGAATCACATTTTAAATCCAGCTGCTTTAAAAACAGGGTTAAATGATCCTGTTATCACCTACTTTACTGTACACTAAACTCTGAGATCTGGAATCAATCTGAGGCTCTTAAATTAATTAAGCTCAATTACTGACAAGAGCCCTCGGTCATCAGTGCAATCAACACCACAGTAATTCATTACACACAGACAGACAAACACACACACACACACACACGCACACACACACACACACACACACACACACACGCAATCTAACAATTACATTTAAATAGACAGATGAATCTGCTGTATTAGATTTAATAATGGATTCACAATTTGATGTTCTGTTCTCTGTGTCTAACTAGAACACATACTGTACAATCTTGCTTGATTCCACCCCTTCTCTCCTGATTTGCTGTCTGTGTGTGGATGTAGGAGGTCAGAGGTCGTGGGAGCTGCACTGAGACGGTCTAGTCCCCTGAGATCTGTTTGGGTCCACAGAACAAAATAAGGCCTCCAACTATTCTCACTGAGACAGAAATATTCCCATGGCTTGACCTGTCAACAGTAACTTTTACAAAATACGATAACTGTAGGCATCGTCAATCTGTTCTCAATAGTTAATCCGGATTTGGGCCCATAAGTTCTCAGATCCATTCAAACTACACAACCTGCCAGAATCCTCCTCTTTCCTGGTTGTGTAAAGAAAATGGTGTGGAATAATGCTGGAATGACTCCACTCACTTTGTTTAAAGGGATCCTTCCTATCAAATTTGCAAAGGTTTGATGTACTATAAGAACATAGAGTAATGTTCAGAACTGCCCAGTACTTCTCAGTCCAAAAAGACCATATTGAAGTTAAGCTACAAAAATCAACTCCAATTTCCAAAATCAGCTTGGAAAACACTTCTCATGCAATCTCATTCACATTCAGAGGACTTTACATTTTAAAGCCATATCAGCAAAAATAATCCAGTTTAATTTAAGTGTCAGAGAGGGAGGAAAATAGTCATTTTATTACTGATTAGCATTATGAGGACCTGAGGGGAAAAATTAATTCCATAAATCGTGAAAAGATCCTTTTTTAAACCAAGCATTACTTCTTTAAAGAGTAAATATTCTCTCAAAATTCTTTCAGTATTCTCTCCACCTGCAGCCTTAATTTGTGCTAAACACATCTATATATCAGCCAGCCCATCAGGGGACAATATCATGCCTATCACAACAGTCCCATATCTAATCTCTCCTTGTGATGTATCTGTGAAAGACAATGAAGATAAAGAGAGTGTGGGTTTGTGTTTATGTGTATTATGACTTTATAATTATGAGGTTACGCTGCATATCCTTCAGCAAGACTGACCGGCTGCTCTCTGGAAGACGGATCGAGAGCGAGAGAGACAGAGAAAGTGTAAGTGAGAGAGAGCGATTTACGGGGCTACTCACTCATGCCCATAATTGCAGCAATAGCACATTTAAAAAGGTCAATTTAAGCCTGGAGTAGCGTAAGATATCCGTGTGAGTGAGAATGTATTATTAAGACTCTTAGAAGGCGAGACGTGTTAGTTCCTTTGAACCAGCTGGCACAGAGACAGACACACACACACACACACACACTCAGAGGCATCTAGCACAGTGCAACTCTGCGCTCTCAGGTTCTGCCTCTGATCCAGGACCTTTCCCGGACACACACATGTTGGGTTTTCATGTATCATGGGGACTTAGACACAATGATTTTTACATTTACTCATTTAGCTGACGCTTTTATCCAAAGCGACTTACAATTGCTATATATGTCAGAGGAGCAACTAGGGGTTAAGTGTCTTGCTCAGGGACACATTGGTGTCTCACAGTGGATTCGAACCCGGGTCTCTCACACCAAAGGCGTGTGTCTTATCCACTGCGTCATCACCACCCCGAATTTTTATTCTCTACAAACTGTATATTCTGTCTCCCGACACTAACCCTACCCCTAAACCTACCCATCACAGAAAACCTTTAAGAAAAAAAACACACATTTAGTATGATTTATTAGCCGTTTTCCTTAATGGGGACCAAAAACTATACGCACCAGGACAAGGATTTCGGATATCGCCATCTTTGTGAGGACATTTTGTCCTCAGAACGTCGGGATTACCAGGCTACACACAAACACATATAATGACAGTATCATAAAAGTGGTACATAAGACTTTTGCACCACATTGCAAATGTTCACCTTTAATAGTTTTGTTTGAGAAATTGTGATGATCTTTATCTCAACCTGAAATTTACTACAGAGCCTCTAAGAGGAGTATATAAAAAATAGGTACATAAGAAATGTGAAAGTTTTACATTCCCCTGAGAAACTTTGCATTGTTTTTGGGCAAATGTAACATTTCTTGGGGGAACAAAAAACTTTTGCGAGCAAATGTAAACTTTCTTGAGGGAACACATACAGTAAGCTTTGCGAGTGAGTGCAAAACAATCATGATATAATTCATCCTTCCACCTCAATTTTTTTTTTCCTTTAATGGCTCCATTCATTTGCGTTGAGGAGGACTGAGGAGTGCCATCAGGTTTGACGTAATTGTCATCAAATTCCATTCGTTTATGAGTGTTGTATTCAAACAAGATGCACCAGTCTGAATATGTGGAAGGAAAAATATTTACTTTGTTTTTTTCATCCTATCTGGAGCTAGTAATCCGTGAGCACTATAAAATGTTGTTATATGAGGGGGGGGAAATGACAGAATATTATTTTTTGGGTATTCCTTTAACTCGCATCTGCACAGGAACAGCAATAAAGTTGTTTAACCGGTTTGTAACTCATCCCTTTCTTTTTCCACTCTCTAAAAAATGAGCAACAATGATGCAGGCAAACAAAATAGATGAGAGAAGACATGATAAAAGAATGGAAGGAAGAGCAGAGAGGCAAAAATGAGAAGTAAATGAGAGGAGGAGGGGAGATATGGAGGGATGCAGACAGGAGAGGTGAGCTGTGCGGCTCTCTGGATGACAGTCACGATAATTCAATTTTCTGTGATGGGTGCACAAACGGGGCCGCGAGCCAATCAAATTACAAGGAGCTGCTCGGGGGACAGAACCTCCCGATCTTTGTGACCTTACCTTTATGCCCAGTCTGTCTGTAACCAAGGTAACAGGATTTGCGGTCAGCAGACGCCTTGTCAGACACACCTACCCACAAGTAATTTCTGACGGACAAATGATGTCACAAAGCAACTCACTGTTCCTTAGTTAGGGACAGCTTGAAGAAACACTCGACAGCATGGACAAAATAAAGTGGACGGGAACAAGTGAATGAAGACGCAAGCCAAATTCAAACTCGGACACATGCGCTAACTTCTAAACCACGGCTCCGGCAACAGGCTTTTACATCTGATGCGTTCCTGCTGGGTTTGTGTAAGTGCTTGTGTGTTCATTTGCTTACAGCTGTGACATGCTCTTCATTTGTTTCGGATTTATATTCCCATGTGGCCGAAGAACCTGCGAGAAACGACATGATGAATTAGGAGATTTTAGCTGAAGTCCTGACTCAGATTAAATATTGACTGTACGCACAGAGTTAAATAGTGCTCTCGGGAGCCGTACACGTTGCAAAAACCCACAGCATGCTGCTGTCAGTTTCCATGACAACCAGAGCCCATCTTGGTCTCCATGGAGACAGCTGGTGAGCAGCAGCCTGCTGTGAATCCTGCGTATGCGTGTAAGTGTTCGCACGTGTGTGGCTCGGCTCATTTCACCGAGGAAAGCCGTTCTCTGTCGTTACCCCACGCCACACTGCGACAGGAAGTTACACGGCCACATGCGTGCTTACCACACCTGTAGTCAACAC